ATATTTTTTTTAAGAAGCGTTGAGAAATATACATTTTTGATTTATCTTCCAATATCTCTGAAACTATCGAAATAGATTTACTCATGTCAAAAGATTATGTAAAGTGATCTGAAAAGAACAAAATAAAAACACTAAATTACCACAATACACTAAAACACTTTTACTTTTACACTGGACAAACGTTTCGCTAACCATGTTAGCATCATCAGCAGATGATTATAAACATGGTTAACGAAACGCGCGTCCAGTGTAAAAGTAAAAGTGTTTTGGTGTATTGTGGTGATTTAGTGTTTTTATTTTGCTGTGTAATACCAAAGGTTCCAACCCTCAACTGTAATCTGAAAAGAAACAAAAAATGCAATAATATAGAGGATGTCCCATTTAAAAAAAATCATCCCTATCCACTCACACTTTTTTGAGCCACCTTATAGAAGTTAAAATATTTTCCTCAAATACATCCTAGAACGTACTTTAGATTTGCACTTAAACAAAATTTTATCTGTAGCTACAGGCTGGCTAAAAAAATCATAAGGACAAAATATTGACTCTGTATTTAGAAATAATAATAATTATAATCTTTCCCTCTTCTTTTATTATTTTGGATACACACGTTGCCTCTTTTTTACGAACGAACTGCAATGGCGGAAACAATGATGATTGGAGCATTAATCGAGCTCTGAGCAATATCCAAAACGTGACATGTTTTAATCACTCCAATAATGTCCAGAAGCTCTCGGAATTTGAAAACAAGGTGGGAAGTAATTACAATTTCTTTTTTATTACCGGACATTCTCATTTTTATAGCTCTATTGAATTCTCTTTAACATTAGTTTTTAGTATAAGTGCCCTTTTAGTTATTAAAGAAGGTTTATTTTTGTATCAAAAACATTACTCATACAATTGCAAAAACATTCATATTTCTGTTGTTTTGAAATTAAATTATGGGACAAGATGGTTGAAATTGGTCACTTTTAACGGAGAAAACAATAACCTTTTTACAATTTAACCTGAGGATCATGTAGAACAAATATAAAAACAAAAATATCAATAAACAATATATTCTCTCTATGAAAGATTATCAATAAAAACAGTTCAGCCAAAAGAGTTTTATCGTGTCGATATAGTTTTAAAAACGAGAACCGGAAGTCGAGGAATCAATTTTCTGTCAGAAAAATATATTTTCTTTATTTTTCGCGAAGCAAAAGACTCTGATTTGGGAGCATTACAGAAAAAGGAAAAGAATTTAAATCCGATCTGTCTTTAACATTTATGAATACCGGGTGCGTCTCGAAAGTGGTTCAAGTCTATAACATTTTTTATTTTTTCAGATAATACTACGAGATATAGTATGTTAGTATATGACATAAATTAGGATCGATTGACGAATTAAATTGTATTTGGTCACTTCCTGTTTCACCGGAAATGACTAAACTTTTGATTTTAAATGACACCCTCGCTATTTTTTTACTTTATTCGATGGAAAATGACACTCTGAATAGAATGATATATCATGTATGAAATTGTGACATTTTTGCTTTAAAGAAAATCGTATTTAAATTTCAATTTAAAGGGCCACGACTGTGTTAAAACACTAATTTTTAATCAAGGAGCCTTGGAAAAATAGTTTTGATCGTCTAATATTTTTTGTGTGTGGTCCTGGCCGGTTAAAATATGCTCAAATCGTATTTTTAATCATATCTCAATTTTTTCAAATGGAACGAGGGTGGCTCATTAGCACATTTGGAAAATGTATTTTTTTACGAATAATTTGTTACCACACACTTGCTATTTCGAATCAAGTTGTCGTTATTCATGTCGAGCTCGTTGTCGCTATGAGCATGTTATAATTTGAAATAAAACATATGCGAAAATGTCAAAAATTGACATATGAAATGTCATTCTATTTAGAGTCTCATTTTCTATCAAATAAAGTTAAAATTTACCGTGGGCGCCATTTAAAAACCAAAAGTTGTAGTCATTTCCAGTGAAAAAGGAAGTGACCAGAACAGACAACTGAATACATCAATCAATTCTATCTTATGCCATATATTAACATACGAAATCTTGTTATTTTTATCTACAAAAATAAAAAAGTTAAGGGAATGAGCCACTTTTGAGACGCACCTGATATTCCTTTAGTGAACTTCAATATTTCTAATTTCTTTATAATATGTAGGTATATAATTTATTTTAATTGCGTTTTTATATTCATTGTTTCTATTTGCAACAAATATTGTTATAATAAAAAGTAAATATGTATTTAAAAATGGTGAATGCTTAATTATATATACAATCGAAGATGAATCGAACTGAAATATTTTGGTCTAATTACTTTGTTCTAATTATTCATCATCATTTTCAGATTATTCAACCATTTCCAGTTATGGTGTAGCCTCCCTCACATATTTAGATACTCTCTTTGTGGTCAATAGTTGGCCATGCGGGCCCAATTTATCACTGCTAATTTCCAAATATCATGGTCCCATCTCAGGTTTGGTCTTCTTCTAGATCTCTTAATTCCTCGTGGGTACCATGCCCATGTAATCTATTGTTCATCCTTCTTGCCATGTATCCTGCCCATTGCCACTTAAGGAATTTGATTCTGTTGATGACATCTGTTACCTTTGTCTTTTGTCGTATTCACTCTATTCTTTTACGGTCTCTTTTGGTTATTCCAAGCATATTTTGTTCCATTGAGCATTGTGCGATCTTCAGTTTCCTTATGATGTCTGTTTTAAGTGTCTAGGTTTCGTATGCATAGGTCATGACTGGTAGTACACATTGGTCGAATGTTTTCTTCTTTAGATAAAGTGGCATTTGAATATGATTGAGTTTCTTCCATAAGTACTCGATGCTAACTTAACTCTTCTGTTGATTTCTGGCAGTAGAGATTCCGAGCTGTGTGTCAGTTGTCCCAAATATGTATAGACTTGTATGCTCGCTTGTCTGTAAATAAATATATTTATTAGAATGTCTTTTCTGTTTACTAGTTTGTTGTACATTACTTTAGTTTTTAGTTTTTGTTAAATTCATTCTGAGGCCTACTTTGTTGTTGGCTGTATTTGGTTTGTTAATTTGTGCTTGTAGTTCTTCAGGGTTATTGGCAATTAGGACTATGTCATCAGCGAATCTGAGATGCTGAAATGCAATGTTTGTATCCTTTTTATAATAACAAATACAGCATACAAGAAGAATTTATGCATAAAATATGTAACTAGTAACCTATTTACATACTAACTATTAAAAATATTTTTATAGAGATCTCTAATGAAAATGACATATGCTATTTCCGATTATATTTGCTCTCCAATTTTAGAACATCCTATTTTATCTAAAATTTGATTTTGGCTGCGACAGAAAAAAAACATTTCATATAAAAGTTTTTAATCTGATTTGAACGGACGGTTTCAAAAACAGGGAAATGAAAAAAAAACGAATGCAATTTACTGCCATTGTTTTTTATTAACATCTTGTTATTTAATTGAGTTTCGATATTTAGTTGACATTTAAGGTACAAATAAAATAAGGCGTGTCTAAAATATTATTAGTATTTTGATATGTGCCAATATTTAAGAAATATAAAATAAAAAATATTTTGACTTACACATCCAGAATAAAATTAATTGGAAATTACTGAGCAATTCACTTGAAATTAGTTATTACTAAAAAGGAAATAAATTCAAAATAAATACTGCATGATCCAAAAAAAAAACGGCTTCAAGTTGGCTTAGAAGTAAACATCATGATAGTCCCCATATAATTTTACATATAGAATTAGAATTTAGAATAAGTGGGAGGGGGGTTAATCTCTGCGACCTTAGAGATCTATTGTGTCCCTCTTTCTTGAGTTATAACTCATCATACATGAGTCGCTAGGGACAGTCGGTCCACTTCTACAGATTTTACATATAAAATGGTAGCGATTTTTATTTCACCACCATTGCTGTCGCCGTTTTTTTTCCCTACGTTTCCCTTATTCGATATTATTTTGAACAAATAAGTGGAGAAAAATACGTCAGAATTTGATATGTTGACATGCGAAACGGTCCTCGATGCATTGTTGGGATGCGTAACCAAGGTAAAGCACAAACATTACTTACGAGACCTCATTTTGAAAAAATGTTGTCCGAAAATGTTAATTTTATAGTTAATAAAATTCTTATAGCTATTTGCTCCATTCTAAGTCATTCGCTTCATTCTAAGTCATTCAGGAAATAATCTAGCCGTATATCACTCATCCTATAAATTAAATTGATTAAACTACCCAAATAATTTTTTGCATGATTTTGCTTTTTAGAAAATAGGTTCATGCCCAATAATATAAGAATAAAAGTTTTTATTAAATTATTGTGCCCCATTCAACTATTTTCCAAGCAAAATCACGCGCAAAATATATTTGAATAGTTTAATCGATTAAATTTATAGGTCTCGTGATATAATATACTATATTATATTATGATTATTCTCAGTGACTTTTTCAAATAAAAACGCATTTCAATATTTTGAAAGGCTGCGACGCATCATCCGCATCAACGGAAGCGTCGCCTCTGGAAAATAGATAAAATATTGTTTCTAAAAATAGATTTATTATAAATTCCACATTATACAAGCATCAGAAAACTTTAGGGGGTATTACTTAAACTTTTATGAATTTAAATTTGCAATGAACAGGTTTAAAAAGAAGAAGAGCAATAAAAGCAATTCTGTCTGAGAGTTCATGAATAAAAACAATTCAGCAAAAATCTCCATCGCGCTGGAGCGTTTCTAAAGCGCGCATTGAAAGAGAAGGATGCAATTTACAGTCATTAACTGTCGGATAAACATATCCTTCACCGTCTTCTGAGATAAAGACAACGACATTGGCCTTCAACCGTTAGCAAAAAAAGAAATATTAAACGTAAAATGTCCCTTAAGTCCTTGAACGCTGCTATTTTTAGATTATACTTCTGTAACTTCTTTTGAATAACTGTTAATGATATGGTTTTTTTTTTCTGTTGCAGGTCTGAATCGATGGATAATATTACAGGTAAGGAAACTAGAGCCAAACAAAACTTTCTTAATTTTCAATGATTTTCCTAAGCACTGAAGTATCAAAAACAGTAGTTTGTATATTTTAGAAAAATAGAAAATTTTGTTTATCAAATCTTTTTATTGTGGACCTGACGAAATAAAAAAAAAGTTAGGGTAAAACTCGCCGTAGTTACGATACTTATATCGTTGACTGAAAAAAATTGAAAGATACGCAAACAAATAGACAAATTCGTGACAAGGCTCATTTGATTTCACCTTTCATCTCAAGTGCTCTACGGTGGCGCATCTACTCGTTCTGCGGCCATCGCATAAACCACTCATTTTCTCCAATTCGGCTAGCGAAGGCATATCGGAGACGGTGTGGAACTGAAAGCGACAGTGTTGCCACATTAAAATGTGTAATATACCGGGTGCGTCTCAAAAGTGGCTCACCCCTATATGTTTTTTTATTTTTTCAGTTAAAAAAACAAGATTTGGTATGTTAGTATATGACATAAATTAGGATTTATTGACGTATTCAATTGTTTTCGGTCACTTCCTGTTTCACCGGAAATGACTACAACTTTTGATTTTTAAATGGAACCCTCGGTATTTTTTTTACTTTAATCGATAGATATGTCAACTTTTGACATTTTCGCATATGGTTTGTTTGAAATTATAACATGCGGTTCGTAACGAAAATTTGACTCGAAATACTAAGTGTGTGGTATCAAATTATTAGTAAAAAGATTCTTATTCCAAATATGCTAATGAGCCACCCTCGTTTCGTTTGAAAAAATTGAGATATGGTTAAAAATACGATTTGAGCATTTTCTAACTGGAACACGTAATAATAATTTTCTAACTAAAATACGATTTTTTATTAAGCGAGAATGTCAAAAGTTGACATACGATATGTCATTCTATTCAGAATGTTATTTTCTATCGAATAAAGTAAAAAAAAATACCAAGGGTGCCATTTAAAAATCAAAAATTGTAGTCATTTCCGGTGAAACAGGAAGTGACCAAAACAATTGAATAGGTCATTCAATCCTAATTTATGTCATATACTAACATACCAAATCTAGCTTTTTTATCTGAAAAAATAAAGAAGTTATAGGGGTGAGCCACTTTTGAGACGCACCCGGTATATAATAAGTTTGACGAAAATATCTTTAGATGAAAAATCAGCGTTTATGTATTGAAAATTTATTCGTGTTGAACATAGAATAAACAACAAATATAAAAATTCTTTTATAGGTACTGAATATTTCTTATGATCGAAAAAAGTCGTTTGGTTGGCTTGGAAACGACGACTATTGACAAATAAAAAAGTTATAGGGGTGAGCCACTTTTGAGACGCACATTAAATATTATTAATAATATAAACAATTTAGATCCAGCCGATTTTGAGTAATTTAAGAAAGATTGCATCTATTTTTATATTAAAACCGAACAGGTAACAATCAAACACCAATCAAATACAGGCATACGTTAGGTTTACAAACTATGATTTTGTCATTGTGAAAAGTAATTTTATTTTAATAAAAATAATGACGTTGAAAACTTAAGGTGTGTCGGTTTTTGACTGGCTTTTCATTGTTGCCTATTCAGATTTAATTTGAAAATAAAGGCCGTTTTTCTCAAGTTACTCAAAATCGGCTTGTCCAAAATTGTTCAAATTTGGCATGTGTGTTTTACCAAACGTAGACTTAAAATTTGCAATTCTATGTTTCCAGCGACGATGCACCACCCGGTATAAAAATAAATTACAACCTTCTTATGGCTGACTGGCAGTAAACGCCAAAAGCGCAATTAAAAACAAAGAAGAGAACAGGCCAAGCAAATAACGTCTAGGGCTTGACCTCGCCAAAATTATCATCGGTTGTCATTCTCCAGTCGTCTTTGACACCGTTTTTTCTTCGATAGTATAGTATACCAATATAATTGCCATTTTGAATTCCTATTACTGTTATTACAACTAATTTTGTTTACTAAAAATGCAGATAAAAACTATGATTGCCAATTAATAAATTTAAATAATTTTCAAAATTGGAGTATTAAATGTCAGTATAAAGTACTAACTAAAAATATTGTTTTAAAATGAAAACCGTATAGCGCGTTCGATAATTCAAACGAATTTATATATGCATGATCCAGGCGTTGACTACTGAATATTTATGTATAAATATACTGTGTTGAATATTTCGTCTCTGGCACATACCTACGTACGCCAGAAACTGAATATTTGTTTGCGATTTATCCGGTTCCATTAGAGACAGGAAAGTTTCGGTATAAAAGAAACTTATTGCAGCGGCAAAACGAGATTCTTCTAAAGTGCGAAGATGTAAGTTGTTCGGGTGAAAAATGAAACAAAGAATAGAAAGAAACGGAATAAATCTACATCCGACAAATTTAAAAATGTCACGCGACCACGATGAAATCGTCAACCTAAGTCTACTATTGGTATTTTATTAAATAAAACTAAGTCATTCGATTCAGAGTGTCATTTTCTATCGACTAAAGTAAAAAAATACCGAGGGTGCCATTTACAAATCAAAAGTTGTAGTAATTTCCGGTGAAACCGGAAGTGACCGAAAACAATTATTGAATACGTCAATAAATCCCAATTTATGTCATATACTAACATATCAAATCTCGTTGTTTTATCTGAAAAAATAAAAAAGTTATAGGGGTGAGCCACTTTTGAGACGCATCCGGTATATTCTATAGTACTGTTGGTGATAATCTATTGATAAGAAAATTAAAAACTAAAAGCTTTTATTTTATCTAATGAAACTTTTTAAAGTCGTAAACTTTTACAATATATTTCGAAATTCGAATTCCCTTTCAGCAATACCAACTTCTCTTACTTTCAACTCTGCTTTAATAACGAAAGTTCTCGATATAATTGTAAATAGAGAAATATTCTGCTCACGCTTAAACAAGATGTACAGTTTAGAATTTCGATTTAATCTATTTAGGATTGTGTGTGTGCTTTTTGGTATACCTAAGTGAAATAACTATTTCTGCTGTGTATTGTAAGTCAGCAAGAAAAATGTGTTTCAGTATTTATTCATACTTCAAATATTGGTTAATTTTTTCCAATAATAAAGATCTACTGACGCAAAATCAAACATAAAAATAAGACATAAAAATTAAAATATCTAGGAAAATATTTGTCTGAGGTGTTAGGTTAAGTTGTAGAACTAACCTAACCTTAATAATATTTTGAAGATACAAAAATTCCCCATTGAACACCTGAATAATATACTGGGTGTTCCATTTAAAATAAAGGAGTAACTTGCTTTTAAAAGTGACTAATGTTCCATATTAATTTTGTCTCACCCTGTATAACTTTTCGGGCCAAATTTCAATTTGGTTTAACACTCATTGGTTACTGTAATTAAATATCAGGCTATACAAGGTCAACTGATATTTAGGTAGCTGTTTTTGTGCTTAGAAGTACAATTTAAGAAAAAAAACTATGAAAAACGGTAAAAAACGAGAATTACTCCCAAAAATTCAACAACACGATATTATACAAAATAATGACTGACACTAGGGTAATTGTCAAATAATACACGACAACATTGCTGAACATGGCGCAATGTGACCAACAAGGCGATAATAAAAATCGGTTTAAACTAATTTTTGCAGCTTTAATCTAAATAAAATATCTATTACAATCATTTGCTCTATAAAGTATAATGAAGAGCTGCTTGGTATTTTAATTTAGTCAACAAATTTAAACATTTTTGCTAAAATTTCATTTACTCAGGTTTATAGGCTTTAGTAAAATAAAACACTAAATCACCACAATACACCAAAACACTTTTACTTTTACACTGGACGCGCGTTTCACTAACCATGTTAGCATCATCTGCTGATGGTTAGCGAAACGCGCGTCCAGTGTAAAAGTAAACGTCTTTTGGTGTATTGTGGTGATATAGTGTTTTATTTTGCTGTGTAACACCAAAGGTTCCAACCCTCAACTGTAATTATAGGCTTTAGTGTCAATTTCGATGTGATTGATGACGTGCATCGGAAAATGTTTTAAAATTTCATACCTATATTTGGTATTAATTAAACTTTTAGTTACTTAATCGAGGGAGCGATTTTTCAATACATTGTTGGCCAACCATGCACATATTCGGCGCCGAGCTGACTAACTGAAATTTAAATTTCCCGCTGGAGATTCAGGTGGTAGCTCTGCTCTAAAAAATGTCAAGTTGCCTTATTTATTTATTTATTTCCTGACATTGTTATTCGTTTTGACACTTCAGTTTTGTATTACGAGTTTTTGGTTTAAATAGTGTTGTGATACTTTAAGCTTAAAAGTGTTTACTAGCAGACCTTGCAGCCGAACATTGATCTTTTTAGAACCTCTTTTAGTTCGAAGTGTACAAGATAGCTTAATAGCCGTAAAAAACTCATGGCAAACTTTATTAGAATATTTTGAACGTAAAAGCGGTAGTAATGGCCCTTTATGTTCCTTAAGTACTGTTAAGAAGGCGAGTTTTGTTGATGTAAATAATAACTGTTTATATATTTATAATTAATGTATTTTTGTTTCCTAAAATATTTTGATTGAGAAAAAATATGTAAAAGTGGGCAACGCTGTGCCGGTCAAGCTTAATCACGTTTACTAAAAGTTTATTTGATTTGAACTAAAGTAATTATTCGCATACGACCGTATAAAAATGTAATTAGCTACTACAACTAAAAATTAACATTATCCACTTGTTCGCTAGGAATATAAATAATAATTATAAAGAAAAACACAAGTTATATTTAAAACATGACAGAATATTTATTAGTTAAAACGGCCACAACTTCATCGTCATAATGTAGTGTGTTTCATTTTGACTTATTTGTTTTTTCTGCGACAACTTAGTGATCTTCTTCTGGATGAGTGTCGACTCCTATGTCCTCTGCGTCTCCTAGATCTGCCGCGCCGTCTTCTCCGTCTCCTTGCTTGTATAATTCCATAGGCTCTTTTCGTAGTCCTAGACTCTACCAGCTCTTTGATTATATCACCCAAAACATACCTGTAATTATTGCATGTTAACATGTTGTTAAAATACATGCAGAGTGTACCTAACTTTAGTGGGTGATTCTACAAATAAAAATAAAACAAAATGTTCCTATGGATATATGCCCTAAAATGCTTCCCGAAGAAGTTACAGCTCCCGAAAGGTCAAATAAAAATAAAATACAGTGTCGCTTTTATGTATGGGAACGGTCGATTATTAGGGAAAATATAGGAGGTACCGCAAAAAGTTAAATATAAAAGTTATTAGATTTTTAAATATCTATTAGCGAGTTATAAATTTAAGTATACAGGATACAGGGTCGTTTATAAAGTCGTGGCACATCAAAGTTTCATTTTTTTAAATAGAATTTTCTTTTGAAAATATCAATTAAACAATTCGATTTAATTAATTTCGATGTGTTTGTTTTAATGATGCCATTCTGCCGAGACTGTGTTTTCAAATGCCTATTATTTACTAGTAAATTTAAGTATACAGGATCGGTCATTAAGTTGTGTCACATCAAACTTTTTTTTTTAAATGAAACCCTCTGTATATTATTGCGTAATTTCAATTCTTCCTATAATTTTAAGCAATAATCGTAATACATAATGTACATAAATTGAAGAATTAAAAATTGTAAAATTTCCTAACAGTCCTGAAAGGGTACTTTCCATTAGGGTAGATTGTACTACTGGTGGTACTTCTTTTATCCTTATAGATACAGCAATTCAATAAATGACATAAAAAATTAGAACTTTTTTACATAAAAAAGGTGCTGTTGGTTTAGTTCGAAACGGTGAGCGGTTTTTAATATTAAAGATTACAATGCATCGATTTTAGTATTAGTGAAATGATAAAATGTAAAGAAATTTTAAACAAATTAATCTCTTGATTTCGCTAATACTAATAAATCCATGCATCGGAACCTTTAAACACAAATAACTTAAAAACCGTTTACCGTTTCGAACTAAACCAAGAGCACAAACAAATCCTAGTTTTAGTTTTCATTTGGTGAAATTAGAAATTACTGTATCTATAAGGATGAAAGAAGTACAAATTTTTATACTATTTTAAACAAATTGCAATACTATGGTTTCAGGGGAGTGCCGCTCGAATGGCTTGAGTCATATCTTGGCAACAGAAGGCAGCTTGTGAGGATTGATACGTCTATGTCTTCTTGTAAGCCTATAGAATGTGGTGTCCCTCAGGGTTCAGTACTTGGCCCTATTTTGTTTCTGGTGTTTATCAACGACATTGCAAATCTAGACATTAGCGGTAAAATCTGCCTCTCTGCGGACGATACTAGTTTCACTTGGAGCGGCCCAGATGTTGCGGCACTATATGATACTATATCCAGTGACTTACGAACCATTAAGTCTTGGTGCGATTCTAATCTCCTATGCCTCAACCTATCAAAAACTAAAGTTTTGTCATATAAAAGTACTATAAATTTTGTACTTAATAACACTACTATTGACGTCGTGGACTGGTGTGAAGTTCTTAGGACTTCTGGTAGACAACTCGTTAAAAATTTTTTTCATATTCACATATTCATTGGACTTTCACATTGAAGCTCTATCAAAGAAACTAAGCGCTGCCTGTTTTGCGCTAAGATCAGTTTCTAAGGAACTTAACTTCTCAACCTCTAGAATAGCCTATTATGCCCTTTTTGAGTCACATCTTCGTTATGCCCTTCCATTCTGGGGTATTTGCTGCGCAACAAAATTTGATCGTGTTTTCAAACTTCAAAAGAGAGCAGTTCGATATTTATTGGGACTGAACAGTAGAACTCACTGCCAGAATTTCTTTAAAAATTTGAAAATACTGACTCTTCCTTCTTTATTCATTTTTGAATCCGTTTGCTTAATCCGCAAGCACATATCTGCTATTCCCGAAAGGCCATCTCATAACTATCCACTTAGGAATGCAGAGCACGATCTTTATTTGCCAACCCCGAGCTCAGAACTAGTTAAAGGTTCAATAGGGTACAATGCCAAAAAAATGTACAATCATCTGCCTTTGAATATCAAATCGCTTTCATTTTTTCCCGCATTTCGCAAAGCTCTAAAATCATACCTACTGGAGAGAGCCCTATATGCGGTAAACGACTTTTTTGTTGCTGTTTAATTATGAACAATTTTGAATTTTAAAATTTTGATCATCTCACACACTGGTCAAAGGTCAAGTATTTAATATTTTATAACTTTAAAATTATATCTATTTACTGCGTACTGTTCTAAAATTGTCCATGTATATTCTTTTTGTAATTTTAAAGATTTAAATTTTTTTGAATTGTATTATTTGTATTGTGTATTTTTTGTTGTTTGTATTTTTTTGTGATTTTGTTGTTTGTGAGTGCTTTGTCGATGAAGCTGTTTTGGCTTTTTGCACAATAAAGCGTTGTTTGTTTGTTTGTTTGTTTGTTTGTACTACCAGTAGTAGTCCCTGGCTTAATGGAGAGTACCCTTTCAGGGCTGTGACGGAATTTTTCATAATCACCATTCACTTTGACATTAAAATGTTTGTAAGAGTACCAAATTTCAAGAAAAACGGTTTACCAATGTTCTTAGAAATAAACAAAATATGTTATTTTTATTTAACCTTTCGACGGCTGTAACTTCTTCGGGAAGCATATCAGAGCATATATGTTTATAGGAACTTTTTTTTATCTGTAGAATCACCCACCAAAGTCAGATACACTATCTTTTGGACACCCTGCATGTGATGATGCATGTCGCAAATATCCCAAACAGGAAAAATAATCTGTATTTTACTATATTTTTAGATAAACATTTCGAGACCTGATAAGCCACTTTTATTAATTGTTGAGAACCAGTAGGTAGTACTGTTGTTAAAATTAATACCATGTTGTTACACTATATTTCCTTTCATTATTTTGTACGAATATCTTTACATAAGTTTTGAATGAAGAAGCTAATTATAACTCTTATAAAATTAATACATTACTACATCTAATAATATTCATTTTAGAATAACACGTCGTAAAATATTGAATCAATTTATCACCAAAATAATTAAATTCAGTTTATTACGTGGGACCATACAGGTACATTCAGGCTTCTTGTATATAAAAAGTTACGTGTGAGTTCATTAAATCAGCGTTAAATTATCCACAGTTTTAATGAATCATTACGCTATTATGAACATAGTAATATATTATTATTTTACAAAATAGAGTTCTATTTAGAATATTAATTGGCTATTTTTGTACGCACTGATGAAAGGTATGATTCCATATTTAGGTTTCTTTGACAGTTTTTATTGGTGTTTCTGTCTAGAATTCTGTTCTTATAAAGGGTGACCGATTGTTCCAAAAATTCATGCATGATATATTTTCATTCCAATATTTTATAAAAAATATGGGAACAGTGGTATTTTAAAAATATTGTTATGGATATGCAGGATGACTAAAATGAATCTAGGAAACGGAATACAGGTATAAAAATTTCCATTTAGGGTACCTATATCAAGTGCTTAAAATAACGATAAATAAAAACTGTGTTGATTCATGCTTTTAAATATAGGGTATCCTATTTGATATAGTTTCGACTAACTATGTACATAGTGTACATTGTACATACTAAGAATTTTGCCTATTTTAATATGGTTATTTTTGAAAGGTACACCCTTATAATATACTCTCAGTTGGCTCTGGTGCACAATAGGTCCCCACGCATTTAACACTTTTTTGGGATTTTTTTGCAAGATTATCTTAAACTGAATATTTTTAAGCATAAAAATTGTTGGATGAATGTGTTTTATCTTTAAAAAGCGGCAAAAAAACGTATTTTAGGTACAGGCGACGGACAGTAAATATGTTAAATTTTCTACACGGATTCAGTAAAAACATCACATATTAGTACTTTATTACCTTATATAGACGTGGAATGATCTAATTTAAGCACAAAAATGTAACGAATCTTCTTTGTAAGCATAAAAATTAAGAAAATATATTTATTTACATCAGCTCAAGCTAGCAATTTTATGACTTTTTCGATTGACAGTTAATCGATCATCGGTATGTCATCTATGGCCTTCGCATAGAATTTGCGACGTTGTCAATAAAATTACTTTATATGATTTTCTTCTGAAATAAAGTTGTTGTGGAGGGACTTAAAACGGTAAGTTATCACTTTAGTGCAACAAAAATTGAACTGTCTAGTAGCTTATTCGTTAGTGTGGATTATTTTAAAGCAATTTCTGAAATAAAATTTGCGGATTTTTCAGGTTCTACGAAAATATAAGTTTTTTTAATATATACTGTTTTTCGACGCGTAATCAATGAAGTTTTGTCATTAGGCTCAATTAGGTTAGCCTGGTTATTTGGAAGGTGGTAATGCATTGGTTAGCCTGGTTATTTGGAGGGTGTTAATGCAATGGTTAGCCTGGTTATTTGGAGGGTGGTAATGCATTGGTTAGCCTGGTTATTTGGAGGGTGTTAATGCATTGGTTAGCCTGGTTATTTGGGGGTGTTAATGCATTGGTTAGCCTGGTTATTTGGAGGGTGGTAATGCATTGGTTAGCATGGTTATTTGGAGGGTGTTAATGCATTGGTTAGCCTGGTTATTTGGGGGTGTTAATGCATTGGTTAGGTTAGGTTAGATAGGCTGGTTATTTGGAGGGTGGTAATGCATTGGTTAGCCTGATTATTTGGAGGGTGTTAATGCATTGGTTAGCCTGGTGATTTGGAGGGTGTTAATGCATTGGTTAGCCTGGTTATTTGGGGGTGTTAATGCATTGGTTAGGTTAGGTTGATATTCTGGTTATTTGGAGGGTGGTAATGCATTGGTTAGTCTGGTTATTTGGAGGTGTTAATGCATTGGTTAGCCTGGTTATTTGGGGGTGTTAATGCATTGGTTAGGTTAGGTTGGTGGGGAGTGTTTGGAAGTACGCAGATCACATCGATTTCGGAATCTTACTGAACAAATCCGGGAAAAATATATTTTTAAACAATTGTGCTAAATACTGTGTAATGATTTTATTGTCAATTTATTTTTATAGTGTTTTTGTTTTGCCTCGTTTATTATATTTTTAATTTTTCGTGTTCTTAAAGTGCGTACTAAATGTAAAAAAAATGAATATAAAGTAGAACGTTTTCGTCGATTTTACACAGGGTGAGTATGGCAACACTGTGCATAACCTTGTATTTTACTGTCTTTATGAAGGTTCTAATAGGGAGTTTTCGCATTGAAATGTAGTGAAAATTTGGAATTTTCAATTTTTTTTTTCGTAGAAAAAGTGGTTCATCCAACAATTTTTTTCTTTTAAACCATTCCATTAACTATGGGATCCACATTAAAAATTAAAAAAACCACGATTTCGTGGGGACCTGTTCTGCACAAGACCCCTCTCAGTTGATCAATTCGGAATTTTTAAAAAAGAAAGCATTATGTTGAAGAAAAATTATGTAAAAATTCATTTAATCTGTATTTCAGAAACCACTCGGTATACACTGTCATTGTTGTATTTTTATATGTAAATCGATTTGCAAAATATGTAAATCCATATATTGCAAAATATATGGAAACATGGGATCTACAAATTGTTGTCTAAAAATATATTAATATCAATATTTAATTCACCCTGTACATCTATGGAAGTATTTTTAAAATGTGCGCTACTATTTCTCCCATATTTTATAAGAAAATATTGGTGTAAAAATATACTGGCTTTTTCGAGACATTTGCTTACCCTGTATAATAACTAAAAAACACCCATCAGCAAATAAAAATGAAGAATATGGTACATTTTTGTGCAATCTTTATCGTAATTTCTGTAACAAAAACTAAAAATTATCGCTTGTCGTATTATACAATTTTTGACATTGACGTTAAACTAAAAATTTAACAAACTTTTCGCGAAAAATGAAGGTCTGCATGAATGTAATCAGCTGTTTAGTAATGATATGAAGAACTGAACATAACAATAGTTATTCTATCAGCATTTACATTAATAAAATTATAGGCATTAGAAAAATAACAAAGTAAATATTAAATTTGACCAAAATTTGGCATTTCTTTTTAACAAATGTATGTGGGATATTTATTTATGCACTAACACAAAGTGATTGTACCTGGTGTATGATATTTCTCATTATCAGGTGGTACTGGATAAAAATATACCTCATATATAAAGATACAACAAATATGGTAGTATTACTTAAAAATGATAATATCTTGCAGTCAAACTGACGTTTTCAAAGACACCTTTTTTTGCCTAACAAAAGTAATTTTTAAAATTATTTTCACTTACTTTCCTGATCTTTTATTGACCGCTCCAAAAGCAAGGGCCTTCTCCAACGTGTTGTTTAACCTGATGATATTCGTTGGATTATGCGGGTATTCCTCCTTGATATAATCGTGGATCTTCTTTAAGGTGACCCCTCTGGAATTGCCTATTTTCTTGATGGTGGACAGCACAATTCGGGCAACACGACGGGTGGCATGACCTAGGCTCTTATCTTTAACGGGAATTTTCATGTTACTTCATTCACGATAATTTTGTGTAAAATGAACGGAAATTTAGATTATTATTTGATCATTGACGTACGACAATTTTGACGTTTTTGGAAATAAACAAGATTTTGTTATCGTCATGGTTAAAATGGTCATAGGCCAACTAAGGCGTGACACTGCTCTAGAAAACCTAAAGACAGGTGTATTTATACTCTTTTTTTTTCTCAGGTAAGATTTCGACAGACGATGACAGAAGAAAAGCAGATGACGTCCCATACCAATCTATTTATTTTACTAACAAAAGTTTCTAATAATTTTTAAGTTATCTATGGATGGGTTTAAATATAAATCCGTCATACGTCGTGTCTTGTTGTTTTTAACCAGTTTTATTGGTTTATTTAAAGAATGACAGATCGTATTTCAATTTTATTGGTTTGACGGAACGATGAACGACAAACGGACGCCGATGCGTATGAACTCGCCTTTAGATTTTTGTCATTTTTGACGCTTGTCAAAGTCTTGCCAAATTATAGGTTATAATTTTGTGTCAACTTTTGTTAAATACCCGCGTTTTGGAAGATGATGCATTTTGATTCGTATTATTACGTGTGTTTTGTGTCTTTTGAAGTCAAGTGGAGGAAAAATCGAGTGAAAATTAACTGTAGACCCAGAGCACAGTTTATGGTTAATACTCGCTGCCCAGGCAGAAAGTCTTATACACCAATGAAGTTGCCATCGATAAAGTTTGTATACCATTTTGTCGTAGATAAGTGCATGTCGTATATGGTAGAAGGATCAAACTAAACACATACTAAAAACTGGAGTAGGTGTAAAATATCGACATCACACGATAGGTAAATAATGGATTTTAGTACTGCAGAAAAATAATGTCAAAAGGTACTGGTTTAAAAAAATTAAGATTAAAGTTAATTAATCAACCTTTAAGGTATAAAATTTGGTAGGTGTTATTATTAATAAAATAGTTTGTTTTATTTACCTATGTTATTTTATCTATTCCTGTGGAGTATTACAAATTTGTATTTGTACATAAGTTATATTGATAAATATAATCATAAATGCGGGTAGTTTCATAAAGCTTGAAAGTAAATAATAGTTCTTTTTTATATTTTTTTGGTATGTAGTGTCTTGTTCTTGTTTGTTTTGTATTAACACATACCGTTTTTATTAAATAAAATAACTCGATTACATTTTTTCAGTTTTATACAGTTTTTTTCACAATATTTTGAAGTAATCACTTGTCATCTTGTCAATCAAATTTTAAATATTTCCTGCTATGCGTTCCAGTTGTACCAACTTATTAATTTGTAAAATAAAATAAACTACTTTGAAATTAAAATGACAGACACATCTATCACTGTCAAGGATCTTCTCGTTGGACAGACTATACCATCAATTTTAAATAATTTAGTTCATTAGTGTATATGGGTAAAAACCGTCATAACTCTATCGTGATCTTTTCGAATTTTTACAAGACTAGTTATTAACAAAATTTTGCACAAACTCCGGCTCCGATCTTTGATTTCCTTCAACCAACCAAAGTTTCAATATTCGCATTATTTGTAAACAAACATTTGGACGAATATTGCAGCCAACATTGGAATCAACCAGGGTGGGCATTAATGTAGATTAATGCCTTTTTTGGGATTCTACACTCCATTTTATAATACCGTATGATAAAAAAAAACGGCGTCAAAGATGGCTGCAGAATGACACTCGATAATAGTTTTGGTGAGGTCAATATCTAGACCTCATTTACTAAAAATTGACATAAAACCTGACAAAAATTAGTGCTAATTATAGAAAGATTAAAAAAGGATAGAACATTTCCAGTTTCCAGACACACAAATCTGTTCACAAAAAAATATTTTTTTCTAGAATTATAAACTACACCATTTAAACATAATTTTTACTCGATATAAAAATAAATTACAACTTACAACCTTCGTAAGTACAACTGGCAGTAAGCTCCATTAAAAAATAAAGAAGACTGCAGGCCAAGTAAATAACATCTAGGGCTTGCTATCGACAATATTATCATCTATTGCCATGCCCCAGCCGTCTTTGGCACCTTTTTTAAATCGCATTTTACTTTAATGTTTTACACTCAATTTTCTCCACATTCAACTCTATTTGCTTGTTAAAAATTATAGTAGGAATTGCGAATTATTTTCTCTAATGAAATATGGAAATATAATGAATGAATAATATATATAATTTACTGATCTATTATTCCACAAAATTCGTTTTATTTATTAATAATATATTAATAATTAATGTTGAAACTAAATTACCCTGCACTTATTAATAATAATACGTTTAAATGTTAATTCTATTATATAAATATTAATAAAATGCCCATGAGGAGTAGCACGAAACAAACTATTTATAACTCAAATTTATTATAGTTATTCGTAGTAGCAGTAGCTAAAAATAAAGTATTAAAAGAAATGAGTTCTTTAAGAAATATAAAATTTTAGAGCTTTATTTTCACGGTCAAATTCAGGCCACTTACATGACCTACACGTGGTAAGATTTGACCGATTTTATATTGAAGAGTGCATTTCTATTCTCTATTGTAATACGAGATCTCCGCATTGATAAGGGCCGAAGGGAAATAGCTGAGAGAATGAGAAGAGGCCGGGCTTATCGTGTTTAAGTAGTACGTCATCAAATCGGTATGTATCGTAGAAAATTGGACGCTCGCAATAAATCGGAAGGCAGTAATACTTGACAATTCTATTTGAATGAAAAAAGATGGATATATGATACTGTTTTTGTCATTAAATTAATAAAAGATAATATTTAAGTGCCAAATTTATTATTATATATTTGCTAAAAACCACGGTTCAGACTCCGTGTAAACAAAGTAGACGGTCTACTTTGTATACGGGGTCTACTGTAGACCCCGTATAGTTTAGGTTACCAGCACAAAATAGCGCATAATATAATTAATATGTCTTATTAATGTGTGACTGCATTCCTTTGTATTTGAATAATGTAGCATAGTACCGTATGATCGAATAAAAACTGCGTCAGCGATGGCTATGAAATGAAAATCGCTGTCATTTTATATGTAAATTTATATGGGAAATGTCATCGATCGCCATTTTCAAGCCAACTGGACGCCGTTTTTATTCGATCATACGGTATACGGAAACTAGTAGCTTTAGTCCTTGTCAAATCCTTTGTTCTGTTTCTGCCACTTTATATAACCTTGTTCTCGCTTCCCGTGACCACTGACGTAGACTGACTGACGTGAACTAGGCAAAGTATAGTCGTGGCACTCGTCATTTCACAGAGATATATTTAGGAAAATATGAGTTCCCAATAAAATAAAATAAAAAAATTGTTCATCGAGTAAAAATTTGCTTGAAAACAGAATATTTTCACATTTCGTGTATGTAACAATTCTTCTGTATCTGAAAATCTTCTGATGGGAAGAAATGCGGAAGAAATATATAATGTTTTTGTGCTCAAGTCATGATTGTAGAAAACCCTGTATTTTAATTTCCAGAATGCTCTTGAGGCGCTGCTAATCCTGTGCTGAATTTCAGAATCGATATTGGCCTTTTCCGAAATCAAACTGCCGAGGTAATTGATTTCCGCTACATATTCCAATAGCTCTTCTCCGATTTTTATAGCATTGTTGTGATCTTCCGGGGGAGTGCACATGATTTTAGTTTTATCGATGTTCAGCTTAAGTCTCAAAGCCTTGTATGCCCATGTATATGTGTTCAAAATTTCTTGCAATTGCTGTAACGTATTTGCAACTAGAGCACAGTCATCAGCGTATTGAAGTTCTGTGATGAATTTTATACGTGTTTTTGCCCTGAGACTTTTTATGTTGAACAGACCGCCGTCGTATCTGTATCTAATGCCCAAACCTCTCTCCTGCTATAAAATAATACTATTACGTAGTATTATAAAATAATACTATTACTATAATATATTATTAATAATAATATAGCCGAAATTAGAGTAAAACAAAACTGTTAATGTAAGAGACAATTTAATCAATTACGGCACTTCTTAATTAAAAAATAATAAAGTTTTTTTTTATCTTTTAACACTTAATTGATTATAAGGTACGTTTTTAATATTTATAATTGAAGAGTACCATTTAATCTGACTAAAAAAATCACTTTATTAGGTTATGACAAAGAAAATTCAATACACTCGAGTATGAGCTCTCAAGTTGTCATTAACACGCTGTCTAAAAGACAAGGGTCCGTGAAAAATCGAGCGTATTTTTTATCTAATGGGCCGGAATAATCTTGTTTGATCCGGTTGCGATATTTTTGACCTAACGATTTCGTTGATTGAGTTATCTTTGTTTTGCTTTAGAAAGACTTTGTATTTGTTTTCCTTTTGACATGAAAATTTTCCGTTTTCAGAATTTTATTACATTTTATATTTGAATAACAGGTATCGAAGGAAATGTGCTCTTAAAAAATTATGCTTTAAATATTCTGAATTTATCGAGTATTTGCAAATTAATTAATTGCATCTTTCAAATGTACTCTTAAGAGCTGATTTAAAGAATTGTTTGTTTTTTAAGAAATATACTAATTGATATTGAAACGTTAGAAACAAAAATTGAAATGTTTTTTTTGGCTGTAAACATGCGTAATATGTTCTACAGGGTGTCGAAAATTGTAAAATACTTAGTTTTAACCTATCGTTAGCTGGTTTTATTTGAAAATATATTTTATTTAATTAAGTCGAAGTTTCGTTTCCGAGATATCATTATCAACTTTACTTTTTTATATACGGATCTGATCTTTTCCACCATTATTAAATATCTCATGATCTTCCAAACACAAAAGGTGCCCTGTGTGGTAGAGGTACAGCTCTCGTCTACCAATTTAAAGGTAGTGGGTGCGAATCCTACAGCCGCCAGTTTATGAGCCTACTATTTAAAAAAAAAAAATAATTTGGATACCTAGGTCGACTCAGCTTTAAATGAGTACTTGGGATTCACAGTGAGGTAATAATAGTCGGCTGAAACCTATACATATATATACTGCCATTACTCGCTGACCAGTATTCGACACGCATCAAAAGATAGTCACGCAAGGCGTTTTCTTTCATGAGCTTTTCTGTGACTGAAAAGCCGGATACTTGATGTTATTTGCCTACCGCACTCCGGACATTCAAAAATCTCATTGCTTTGTTGCCTCTTTACTTTTTGGTTGTCGCTGTTAACTGAGTTTACAATTCTTCTCCATTGAGTTCTATTGTGAACTGCTTCATCTCAATTATTCTGCATGTTAATACCCTTTAAGTTTTCGTGGAAAATGTCCTTGTAATGTCCTTTTGAGTTGTCCACCCGACCTCCTCTTACCGTCTACAAGCTCACCGTAAAGCAGAGATTTTGGTATGCGGTTTTCTTGTATTCTGCACACGTGACCAGCCCATCTTAAGCGGGATTTAGTAACCATGACTTCAATACTCTCGCAATTATCTTTTTCAAGGACCGATACGTTTGAGACATGATGAAACCACCGGATTCTTAAGAGTTGTCAGGTGTCTCTGTTGCAACTTGTTTAACGCGTTCATATGTCGGCGGTACGGCACCCAGGTTTCGCTCCCATATAACATGGTGGGATGGGAACTCAAGTCATGGTTGTAGAAAACCCTGTTTTTCAATTTTCAGAATGCTCTTGAGGCGCTGCTAATCCTGTACTGAATTTCAGAGCCGATATTGGCCTTTTCCGAAATCAAACTGCCGAGGTAATTAAATTCCGCTACATTCCAGTAGTTCTTCTCCGATTTTTATAGTATTGTTGTGATCTTCCGGGGGAGTGCACATGATTTTAGTTTTATCGATGTTTAGCTTAAGGCCCAAAGCATCTTATGCCCAGGTATATGTGTTCCACATTTCTTGTAATTGCTGTACCGTTTTTGCAACTAGAGCGCAGTCATCAGCGTATTGAAGTTCTGTGATGAATTGTGTACGTGTTGTTGCCCTGAGTCTTTTTATGTTGAACAGACCGCCGTCGTATCTGTATCTAATGCCCGGTTGAAACGTAGTGCTAGCCACATTACCTTCCTTGTATATCGAACGGTTCTAGCATGGCAAGCTGTATCTTGCTACTCTCTAGGCGTTAAACGCTACATACGGGTGCTATTATTACCTAGACAAGGTGTCCCAGAAATAAGTGCAAGTATTTTAACTGTTAGTATACTTCAATCCCAGAAACACGCCTATGAGGTTTTTTTCGCGAACATTTTTTTTTGAACATTCGGAATTTTTGGAAAAAACGTTTGGATTTTTTTTTGTTCTTAGTTAAAATACAAAATTTCTTGTTAATATGGCAACATAGGTAGTAGATTAAATTCACAAGAAAGAACATCCAAAAATGATCCAGTGGTTCTCAAAATTTGAGCAAAAAATCATTTTTCTTTGGAAATTTTCAAAGTTAAATAACTCTGTTATTTTGGACTTATTTGAAAAGCCGTAAAGAGAAAATATGTTTCTTTTATCGAGGTCTACCACCATGTATAACCACTTAATTCGACGCTAGATTTCATGCGCTTAGTAAAATACATGCGCTTAAAGAAAATTTTTAAAATAGAAAATGAATTGTGGAATGGAATATGAATAATTGTAATAATCAAACAAAAATATTTATTGTTAACAAAACTTTAAATATAGCGATAAAAGAAGGGACAACGAAAATAAATATATTTCCCTGTTGTGGTTGATCGATTACTATCTATGTTTTCGAAACCGCTTATATTATGATTATTGACCTTAGGTACTCTTCGTATACACGAAAATCGTCAACCAGAGCCATAAATGCTCCAGCCGGTATTCTTCAATATATTAGATACTATTTAATTTTTATATTTATCTACCTATTTTGAACCGCGTGCTAAAGTACGATAACAGCTGGGGAGTTAATGAACCGTGTTCTCTTAAAGGACGTTTAATAAAATCGTATAATAAAATATCTATAATAAATAAACGTAATAAATTTTATTACAAAAGTGATCATTGAATTAAACGAATTGTGCTTGTCATCTAGGCTTGTAAAACGACACATGTTCTTTTATCTTTAATTTATAATAATTACTGATCGTTCTAACTACTAAATTTTGGTACTGAATATATACAGGATGGTTTGAATTGTATTTGGAAAACTTCGGCAGTATATTCTGCAGACAAAAATAGTTATTAAAAAGAGCGTAAAAATTTATGTCCATAGAAGTAGATTCATTTTTATTTCGATTTTGTCCAAATAATTTCCGAACTAACATCGATATTTGGATGTAAACTAGTGTGTGGGTGTTTTTTGAAATGTGAAATTTCATGTTAATATTATTCCTACTTGTACGGGGTGCCACTTATATAGGTTTTAACAGTTTTGAAGAATAATACATTTTTGTTCATAACTATAAAAACTACTGAATGAAAAACTATAGATTTCCGACGTTTTTTACGTAAGAAATGTGTCTTACTAAAGGACAAGTAAAGATGAATAGCTGGTACTGAATAAACTGTGACTTGAACAAAATACATTAATTATTTTTTTTAGCTTTAGCATAATACGTCATTTATTACATATATTTTCTTCTACATTTTTATAGTTTTCTCTAATTTAACTTTATTTTTAGAAGATAAATCTTAAAATTTACCAGGCCAACTTAAATATAAATAACAAAACCAATTTGGCATAAGACATTTTTAATTACCTAAATCGTCCGATTATTTGTAAAAAATAAAATTATTAGATTTTGTATGAAATTACCACAAACTACAATATGGTGCTAGAGTTTTGTGATCAAACCAGAGCTTTCGAGGTTGACCAGTAAACAAATATAATTTTTGTTTACAAAAATGTTCGGCGTCAATATTGGAAAGCAGCTTTATTATAATATTTTGTATCTACAACCGAGTAGTTATAACGTTTTTACATGACTATTTTTTAGTATTTCAGTTACGTTATGAGATTAATAACACAACTAGTGGTGTTATGAATCTATAACACAACTAGTTTTTATAATAATGAAAAATAACTACGAACATCTAAATATATTAATTTTTGATACAAATTCCTACTACTAGTTATTGTAAATATTAATAACACATTTTTTACACTTCTTCAGAACAATTCCTGCTGCTGATCATGATGACGATGATAATAGTGAAGGTCTAACTGAAATAGATTGGGCTGTTGATCGGCTCTTATATTCCCCACAATTATAATTAAAAAAATGTGACAAATTTCATCTATTTTTTGTAAAATACTTCCTCAAATTAGATCTATCTATCTATTCAGCCTCTTCGGTCCATCGTTGGACATAGGCCTCCCCCAATCTCTTCCACTCTTCCCTCTCTGTCGCCGTGCTCATCCATGTTGTGCCTGCATGTTTCCTCAGATCGTCCGCCCATCTCATCTGAAGTCTTCCTCTACTTCTTCTATTCTCCCAGGGCCTCCAGTTCACGATGCATTTGTTCCATCGATCATCCTTTTGTTTGACATTGTGACCGGCAAACTTCCATTTCAGTTTTGCTACTTCACTTCTAACATCCCTTACTTTAGTTTTTCCTCTGATCCACTCATTCCTTTTTCTATCTGCCAGCCTTACATGTAGCATTTGTCTTTCCATAGATCTTTGAATTAGATAGCTGCTACTTATTACACCTTGCAAAGATTAATAACTTATACAAAATATAATGTATAAAATTAAGCCTAAATTTTAATTTTATATCAGTATGCATTTTCTCATAAATGTCTGCTTTTTTTTTGCTCTAAATATTTAATATAATATTTAATTCCATATAATATACTTTACTTATTAAAAATATATTTTTTTGAATCTTGATTTGCTGGTTAAACAAAATCTCTTACTGTAGCCATGTATAATTCGTCTGTATCTGATTGACGTTTCTTTTTTGTCGGACATTTATAATTGTTTACCAATAGCTACAATACTATTTAATTTTTATTTATGTTGTTATACAGAATTTGTTGTTACTAATCTTGTACTAACGTTTTTTTTTTCAGTATGTCCTCCATCATGTGATAATTGGCTATGTTGGAATAAAACTGCCGCAGGAACTAACGTTTATGCGGACTGTCCCAAAGATAAAGGAATTTTGGAATTTGGTAAGATAGTCAATAATATAACGTAACAATAAACGCATACAAATTAGGTACCAAACATATGCAAACGTATACAAACTCTCTGTTTTTTCTTGGAGTTTCGTTAGAATTTATTGTGAATATTTTATATAAAAAGCTGCTATTACGTGAAACAAAAATGTATATAATAAGAATAATTCCTAATACAATAGACTAATAAGTCAAACACCCGGTATATAGAAATTTGCATTGAAATACCCAATGACTTGCACCCGGTATATACACAGCACCGCAGTAAATTCAATATACCCTGTACTTATGTACAGGGTATATTGAATTTCCGTAAATACCATTATACCCGTTATATACCCAAATATACTAATTTTGTTCATTTATAGTACTTTCGTATATTTTAATAACAATTTATTGTTAAATTTTACATTAAAAAAAATCTAAGAATAAATGGCCAAAAAATGCAACCGCAAAAATTTCCAGGATTAGTCGTTACTTTTTAGAAAATTAAAAAAATAATTGCACATTCTCATAACCACTTTATTAGGGCTATCTGGTTTTTAGATTTTTAAATTAGCTGATAATTTGTGAGATACCTACAGAAACCATCTTTTTTTTAAATATGGACCTGCATTTTTTATTTCAAGTTTTGAAAGAACTCGGTCTCCTGAGTACCATGATATGCCACACTTAATATATTTTTTTGTTTCAGACATGTGAACACAATTTATTTAAACTAATTTCAAGTCCGGTTAAATTTTTTTTATATTTAATCTATTCATCGTTACAATATTGATAAGTTTTCAAACTTAACAACGACGTGGGGTAAAACATTCAATACGGAAAATCAAATGCAATATAATAATAAAAAATAAATAATATAATATACACAATCAAATCATTTCCCCGGAAGATGGATTGAATGGTAGAGCAGTATAATGACCAGCGAGGTTCCTGTCACCAAGGGGCGGAGAGGGGGGGCATTACTTAACGTCATTTGTAAAAGTGAAATCAATATATTTCAACATTTAAAATAAAGACTACAAAATGCATTCGGAAGTATAAGAACAAGACGTCCAAAGAGCTATAAATAAGATTAAACAAAAAATAAATTTGTGCATTAGGGAGGGTGTAAAAAACTGTACCATATACACCCTGTATACGCGATACTCCTTAGTAATCTAGAACTAGACAATGAAGAAATAAAAGCTGCGTTTATTTTTATGTCTACCAGTTTATTTGTTTGTAAACCCTGACGAATTTTATGCATTATTTCCAGAAGGTAAAAGTAATAATTTATTTTCTGTTAATTTTAGGTAAAGCTTATAGATACTGTACGATTAACGGCACTTGGGAGACAAAGACTGACGAAGTGGGAAACACTATTAACTATACTCATTATGAGTCGTGCATATTGCCAGAAGTACAGGCCGTGACGGATATGTGTCTTTCTTTTGGGCCTACAGAATGCGAAAAGGTAATTCACTTTTTTCAAGTGTTTTTTTGATTGTCTATAATTTTTACTAAGACGATAAATACATTAATATTTATTATTAGTTCAGCTCTATGTATGATTTAACTGTATATGTAGCAAATTTATTATCTTTCAAAGATATATCTAATAAAATACTTTTATGAAACAATAATATTGTTCTCCATAAGTGCAAGCACTAATAATATAACCTAAAACCTTTTTTGTGTATTTTGAAATACCTTACTTCACCAACTGCAACGGAACCGCTCGCGCATTACTTCATCGCAGTGGCTGTATAAAAACTACTTTAAAGCATGTGGCTGGTTGCTTTCTCTCTCACTATGTCCCTCATTATGTTTGTCACATCCTGATAGTCTTGTTCAGTTCTTACCAGTCTTTCTACTACTTCATCAATATCAAATATTCTGCTTGTTGTTCTAAAGTCTGAATCTCCTTCTATCATTCCATCGGAGACACTTGAACAAATACTTTCTACAGATAGTTTCCAAAGCAACCATGCCCCGATAATGCCTGGGTGAGATAGTAGTCCACCTTACCACAGGGTCGATACAACCACTTCTTCACCGTTTGGAATCAGTCTGAACGTTCATCTTTCATATGTCCCCTGTGTCCATTTTTTCTGCCACCTGGTTATCAGTAAGTCTCTGGCTATTCTCTTAGCTGTAAACTTCTTCTCTCTCTTTTATTAGGAGATCTATAGGAGGATATTATGTCGATTTATTTAAAGTTATCTTGTAATCAATTAAGTTTTTTTGCTAGGTTAGCTTAGATTAGATTCTTCGAGGTGGATATCGGCCTGATTGATGTCTTTCCAGGTCTATTGTGTTTCTCTTCTGATCTTTAGGTTACATTCCCCAGTCCTATCCTTTAATAACTCCAGCAACTTGGAGACTAAACCCTCCATGTACCTCTCTGGCAATGGCCTATCATTACCTATTACCGGGAACTGCACATTTGTCAGACTGTTGTACCATAAAATTTGTTCTGTCGTTTCTTCTTTAGATTGTGATGTCCCATTAGCTTTAGATGTCTATTTAGTACAATGCCCTGTTAGTAGACCCACTACAGCTTTGACTGTCTTTCTGTCTTTGCTTATCAGGTCTGTCCTGAATTTTAGTTTATGGACTACCATGAACTTTTTTGCCTGTCCCTGCCCTAGTACCCTAGTAGAGTTCCTCCACGAAAGCAAAGACCCCACCAAAAAATCCACCCACTTGGGATCGAGACATATGGAATTTAAGTTTTATTACACCTACACTCAGTATATTTCAGTAGGTGAATTGTGACCTTTAATTGTGACAATTCAGTAAATATTTGTTAATTTTTGTTAGTAGGTTGTATTTTTAAATAAATAAATAATATTTTAACATCTATGCCGATATCTAGTTGATATTTGCAGAACTGTAATTATTTGAAATTTAAATGGCTGCTTATACTAGGTTATTAAAACAAAATTTTAGTCGATGCAGGTAATAAAACCAAAGCTAATTTGGTAAATTTTCTAGATATTTTGTCAAACGTTCAAGTAATTAGTAGGATTAGCTTTAATCGACCTTTTTGAGTAGTTTGACTTTGATAAACATTTATACGATTTGTCAATTTTTGTGTGAGAACACTTTTTATATAATTTTTACCCTTGCGTCTATATAGTATTATAATTATTATGTCGAGGTTTACAAAATAAATGCTCAAACTGGTTTATGAAATAAGCTAATTATTGAAGTATTTAGAATGGAATAAATGGACAGAATTTTCGTAAAGAAATTGTTTTGACGCAAACTTTTTCCATTAATAAAGGTTTTAGTTAAAATATACAGGGCCGCTTTTATGTATGGAAACGGTCGATTATTAGGTAAAATATAGGAGGTACAAAAAGTTAAATATAAAAGTTATAGGGTTTATAAATATCTATAAGCGGGTAATACATCTAAGTATACAGTGTCGGTCATAAAGTCGTGGCACATCAAAGTTTAATTTTTTTAAATGGAACCCCCTGTATATTATTGCATATTTCCGTTCTTCCTTCAATTCTAAGCCAAAATCGAAATACGCACAATGTATCCCATACCAACCATTTCCGAGTTATTGACTTTTGAAAATATCACTTAAACAATTTGATTTAATTAATTTGGATATGTTCAGTTTCATTTAACGATGTCATTTTTGCCGAAACTGTCATACTTAATAATATTTGACATTAGTTCTCAAGTTTGACGTTTCATTTTAAAAAAATAAAGTTTGTTGTGACACAATTTTATGACCGACCCTGTATACTTAAATTTGCTAGTACCTCAACTCATTACAACAGTATCACAGTTTCGGCAGAATGGCATCATTAAATCACACATCAAAAATTAATTAAATCGAATTGTTTAAGTGATGTTTTTAAAAGTCAATAACTCAATGTACCTCAAAGCAACCTTTTCGGAGTTAAAAGGTTGCTTTGAGGTACATTGTGTGTTTCGATTTTTGCTCAGAATTGAAGGAAGAATTGATATATCTAATAATATACATGGGGTTCTATTTAAGAAAATGAAACTTTGATGTGCCACGACTTTATGAACAACCCTGTATACTTAGATTTATTACTCGCAGGTAGATGTTTAAAAATCCTATAACTTTTGTATTTAACTTTTTGCGGTACCTTCTATATTTTACCTAATAATCGACCGTTTAAATAAATAAAAGCGACCCTGTATAAAAGACAAGTAACAAGGAATGTTTATTTTTGTGACTGGTTATTGTGGTATATTTTTTATAAAAAAGAACTACATTGTACAAAATAAATAATGAATATTTTGTTTTTTAGATAGGCAGAAAAACCAGAACGATAGAAATTGTTGGTTTATCATTATCATTCATCTGTTTGTTAATATCACTATACATATTTTTTTCGTACAGGTAAGAAACGTATATGTAATAATCTATTTTCACTTAAATTATTCTATTTTGTTGTAGTATACTGAAGAATAACCGTACAAAAATTCATAAAAATCTATTCCTTGCCACATTATTCCAAGTTACATTTAGACTAATAAAGTACATTGATTATGAACTTGATAGCAAACATTTCTTATTAGACAAGGTAAATAAATTTATATAATATTCAATATATGCTTATTACTTGACATATTTCTAGTACCACTTATCAGAAGCCTGTACAGTTTTAATGGAGTATGGAAAAACAGCAATGTTTACGTGGATGTTTATCGAAGGTCTATATTTACATAATGTAGTCACGTTTACAGTTTTCCAAGAGTATTTACACATAAACTTTTATATATGGGCTGGTTGGATATTTTCTGTTGTGATGACGTTAATTTGGTTAACTGTGATGATAGCCATGAGAGTAAGCACGTAAGCGAAAATTTGGATTATTACCTAATTTAATTATATATTCCAGAAATTTTAAATAAGATAATGCGTATCGTACATTTCAAAATTATGAACTACACAATCTTTCCAAGAGTTTTGTAGCGAATTAGTGTTTTATTTTGCAAATAATACATAGTTATACTTTATTAATTTGTGGATTTTTTTTTGTTTCGATAAACTTTTTCTTCTTTTTTAATGTAATAAAATGCATATATTCAGTTGTTTTTGCATTTAAAAATTATGTTCTGGAAACGTTAATATACTTTTATACAAAAATTGTACTTAAAATGCAATATCAAGTTTATAACTGCGGCAACTCGATAAAAACTTGAAATTGCAATATGTTCTTGTTTCAGAACGTGGACGTTTTATTACTTCCTGCCGTATTATTGGATACTGGAGGGTCCGAGATCCTTCCTCATCTTTGTAAGTATAAAAGTTTTGAAAATATGTGGTTTATAATGTTACTCGGCTATTAAAAAAATTCCGATTTTAAAAAATCCGAATATTAGATGTTTTTTGTTAACTGACTATGACATATTGGTTGTAACTAATTTTAGTTAAAGGGAAATTTCTTAGGTCTGAATATTTTTAAACAGCAAAAAGGGGTTTTATAGAGGCAAAATTAATTAAATGCTTCAGTTATAATATAAACATATTTCATAGACTGATAGTGATGACGTTTGTTAATATTTGCTGTTTCTGATACAAAATGCAACTTTAAAATAAATTATTAATTTAATATTACCCAAGGTGAACTTTTAAAGTATCCTAAAACGTTATTTCTACTTCTTTTTATAATGAATTTTGGTTTGAATTATGGATAACCTAGAGATCCATGTTACTACCAATACATTTAGCACTTACTTCCATTATACATGGTCAGTCTGCAGAGGTTTTTACGGCTGTATAATGTAAAAGTTACGAAATACTGTTAGTGTCTTCAAAAGCGAATAATCCCAACATAAATAAAACTATTGAGGTGAACTAAAAAACAAACTATCTAGAAGGGATGTGTCTAGATGATAAAGTAATTTTTAAATTTCTTGCTGTCTTAGTATATTCCACAGGGTGTTTCAAACTTACCAAAATATCAACATTTTGCTTGCCCCCGTATAATTTGATGGTAACTTTCATTTTTAATTTAAAAAAAGATGGTAAAATACCAAATAACTTAGCTAGATGTTGCTCAAAATATCACCAAAATTGACCCGTTTGAATCTAAAATTTTAAAATCAACATTTCTTGTTATAACTGTATTATTATATTTTTATATTATAAAATTTATCAGCAAACTATCTCGTAAAATCTTCTTAAATAGTAATGAGTTTTGCGCTGTTGCAACCAGTTTCTCTAAATTATATCGGAATTTTCTTTGAAGAAAGAAATATATCTCTTAATGCTCTAATCCGTTTTAGATTATATTTGGAACTTTTAATCTTTTAGTAACGATTCACTGTATTTTATTTCATTAAACTTTTAGGCCAGAATGGCGCATATTAATTTGATTTTTATTTTTAGGTTAATTTGATATTTCTATTAAATATCATCAGGGTCCTCGTGGTCAAATTACGTCAGAGTCGATCAAGCGAAATTGAACAAGTTAGGTAAGTTGACATTTTAATTTTTGGTAATATTAAACTAATTTAAAAGTATCGTCAAGCTAGCAATATTGTCTGATAATAAACTAATAATACACATACCTATCATTCTTCTTTATGGAGGTATAATATATAAATATAAAAAAACTAGTTACTAACCTTACTAACATAACTAACTTGTTAGCTATGTTTGTGTCATTGGAAAATATTGTTTGTAGCTTTACAGCTTAACCGATTTTATATTCTGTTTGTTTTAGAGTTTTTTTTTAATTATTTGTGATAGTTCTAAGAAATATTTATTTAATAAAAATATTTTATATAATTTGAAAACATTATTTTATAAAACATTTGGGGTATAGTGCAGAGAGTTTTTAACAGTTAGTTTAGAAACATTTTGTGTTGAGAGATATTTTCTACATAGAGCATTTACATGCAAAAATTAAAATTTTGAATTAGTAATTCTAAATTATTCTAACACCATATTTGTAAAATGTATGCAGTAGGTACCTGACAATATTTGCTCCATAATTTACCTACTAAATTAAATATGACATTACATACATAACATAACATTACATCACAATTTGACTAGTGAATGTGTATGTGCTCCACTTTATTTCAAGTTTTAATTTTTAAAAGGGCACCAATAAAATGATAAATAGTGAAAAAAATCAGATAAAAAAATAGTGAAAAAAATCAGACATTTTTGAAAACTACTTTTTTTTTCTCCAACCAAACCATTTAAGTAAAAAAGTACATTTCTATAAAAGGCATTTGGTGGTCACAAAACTATTGTAAAAATAAAAAAATGTACCCCTAAAAAGGCCAGTGTATGCACAAAAGAGTGTCTCATATTTAATCAATAGAGTCCAAAAATGTTACATGTTGGGTAATAATAAGACAGTCAGAGAACCCACATTCAAAGGCCCTGCTGTCGTCTATATTACATGCTAAACTAAAGATGAACTTAGAAGGATAGAAATTATATATACACATTTATCTTTTTTATTAGAACAACTCAAATAAAAAAAAATCTAAACTAATAAAGAACTCCTACATATAATTCAGATCAGTAAAAAAATACAATAAAAAAACAAATATAAATTTATAAACTGTAAGTGTTAGGATACGAAGAAAAATATATAGTTAATAAGTAACACTAATATATTAATAGCGTCACTTAAAGAGTGGAAGAAAAAAATACAAATATACCAATTAACGAACTAAATATTTCCCATCCTATTGAAAGAACATCACCTTGCAAATTGGATGGTGTTAGTTTATTTAAAACATTATTTATCTCTGTAACTACAGTTTTGATCGATATGAAAAGCTTTGACTGCGTATAATAAAGTTACATTTTCGCTGCTGACTAACTTTGCAGTCTTTTAATATCTTCTTTTGTATACTCGTTTGGTTTCTTTATTTCCATTTTCATCCAATCTATAAACATTTTTTGGTTATTTTTGAGTTGTGACTAAAATTTAAAAATATACATGCTTTTAAATTGTTTCATATTTGCTTCTGCTTTGACTCATTATTACTCCAGTGTGTATCTTAAATTTGCCGCTCCAAAAAAATGCTTCTCACACCAACAAGACTTAATTTGAACGAACATACCCTTCTAAACTATGTACCGGTATCTAAGCGCGACATCGCTCGAAAGTCGAACGCTTAGTACTTCATACTGATGATGATACGACAAAAGTTTGGTAGTCAGTTTCATGGATTTGCAATTTCACTTTTTCTATTATTCATTTTTCACCCAAAGATTAAACAAATTATGGGGATGTTCTGTTAATAATTACTATTACATGTTCCTTACAAGAAAACTGACTGAATATAAATTTTCGCTAGTTTTCTTTGAATGTTTGATTTGTTACCTAAATATGGTGTGTCTAATTTTTACATCACTTAAACAACTTTTGCCTGTTTAATTAAAATACACAATTTCAGTTTCATTTAAAGAGTTGATGTAATATACGGCTTGACAAATATTATACAGGGTGATTTTCCTACGATGTTCTCTATGGGTATCTCGAAAACTACTGAAGATAGAGAGTCGTTTAAATGGGGAAAGAATTGCAGTTTTGTGGGGTCATAAATATGCGCCTTTTAGATTTTTGAAAAAGTTCATGGCTTACTAGATATTTCGAAAAAAAAACAAATTTCGGCTATTTTAAAAATTGTCCCTAATTCCATTATAAGCTATTTTAGGCAAAAAGTTTTCAGATAAAAGTTGTAGATAATCACATCCCTAATGAGATTGTGTCCTCCGTTTTTTCTAAAGCTCGTCATTTTTGACATATGACACAAACATATGTTTTTTAAATGGAAACCATAGTTGGTCATGACCTCATAAAAAGCGCCATTTTTTAAGCTTTTCAGCGATATAAGCCATAATATGTTTTCTTCGAGAAGTTACTGAGTTATAGCCACTTCTTATAATTTTTAAACAATTTCACTTAGTTAGCCATGGAAACAAGTTTAATCGTCTTTGTTCTCAGAAATGTGAAGCTGTCACATCCAAACTTTGTAAATTAAAATAAACAAAAATTGTAAATATGAATTTTTCCAATGAAGAAAAGCGTGTAGGATTGTTGGTTCAGCTTTTCTTGGCCATACATTTTCGAGGATACGTTGACCAAACCAAACAAAAATTGTAAATATGAATTTTTCAAATGAAGAAAAGCGTGTAGGATTGTTGGTTCAGCTTTTCTTGACCATACATTTTAGAGGATACGTTGACCGGTGAATGTTTGACGCTTGGTCGGTGACGTTTTTAGACAACGATTAAAACATGTTAGAAAAGTTAAATTTAGATATAGCCAATTCTTATTTTTCTTTACTAATTTCACTTAGATTGCATGGTATTCTTATTCTGTTATGATTTATAACTTATCAAAAGTCAGAATATCTTATTAAACGGTTCTTTACAATTTACATTACACAAACTAAAATTTAAAAAAATAATAATTAAGTTATTTTAGAAAATGTTCAAAATATCCGCCATCGTTTTGTTCTACAACTTTTTTCTGAAAACTTTTCTGTCTAAAAATAGCCAAAATTTGTACTTTTCCAAATATCTAGTAAGCCATGATGTTTTTTAAAAATCTGAAAGGCTCAAAGGCATATCTATTACCACACAAAACTGCAATTCTTTCCCCATTTAATCGTCTATCTCCAGTAGTTTCCGAGATACCCGTAGAGAACATCGTAGGAAACTCACCCTGTATGATAAATAAAAATTCCTGTTTATAATATATTTTTCGGAAATTCCTAACTAAAATATTTAAGTTATTGTTATTTTTTTTAAATACCAGGATAATTTTTTTTAATGAAAGTCTTATCTCTTATTACCATAATCGTAAAGCATTTTCCTTATTACAGTATTAATAGACGATAGAGGTCACCATATGCTTCATTAAAAAGTAATTCGATCATTATGTACACCTAACATTATTGCTGTGTGTATCCTTCAAGACAAAACCCGAATCGATATTTAGGATCATATTAAGACATAATTAATATTTGTTCACAGGAAAGCCATCAGGGCAACTATATTCCTTTTGCCATTGATGGGTACGGCACATATCCTGTTTCTACTGGATTATCATTATAGTGAGGCTTGGAAGTTCGCTCTGTGGTCGTACACATCGTATTTTCTAAATACGTTTCAAGGATTCTTCGTTGCTGTTTTGTACTGTTTCTTAAACGGCGAAGTAAGTATTCTACAGTGCATTTTTGACTTAATATAACTACGCAGGAAATACACTATCGTTTTAATGCTTGTCTACCTGAGTACTATCTGACAGCTCAACATATTTTATATTTTAGTCAATTTTTAAGCTTCAAGATTAATTCAGGACTATGAACTACTGGTTTCAATTACACTTTATACTTTTTAGTTTACGATCATTTACAATGTCGAAAAAACATAATTAAAATTAATAGCATATTCTAGCAACAGCTTGCGGTAGTCAGTTGTATCCATAGTGAATGCTAAATATTTCGCTTATAAAACAATCAACTTCTGATTTCTAACCACAATTTTTCTTGACAGATGATAATCAAAGGCCAAAATGACATTCCTCGCAAATTTTGAAATATAATTAGTGGTAAAGTTAAATATTTGTTAACTTTTTCTACTAATTGAAAACGACTACCACTAATTTTGTCATTCTGAATGCTTACATTGAAATTAAAGGAATAAACCTACATGCTAATTGAAACCACTAATTTATTCCATTAATTTGGACGTTCTGAATGAAGCTTTATACTTAAAAGTTTACTATCACTTACAATGTCTAAAATATACTATTAAAATCCATAGGCAAAGCCTAATATTTAGCTTATAAAACAATAATAGTATATTTTTTTAAAACATTACAAAAGTATTAATTTTTGCGATGTGATTGACAATTGATTGACAATTAACGCCTAGGCTTAAAAGTAAAGCGCTTTCGTGCGTAAGCATAAGAGTACGAACATATATTATTAAACTCACATTAAGTGTCAAATTCAATGAGCCCGTAACCATACTTTCTTCATATATAATTACTTACAAGGTATAACTTTTAAATATTTTTATATTATTTGGAAGGTTTAAAATTGTTTAAAAAATTATTTGTGGCGTTCGAAAAAAAATAGCATGTTCTATTCGGAGTAAAAATGACTTCTTTTGTCTCGCCTGTATGCCGGACTCGCTAACACTCACTTGAAAGCACTAATTTATTCCACTAAATTCGAGGTTCTGAATGAGGCTGTAGATATTAAAATTAATAAAATTTAATTTATAATGGATTATAATATTATAAAAAAAACACACATATGAAGTTTTGGTCAAATGTCAATTTTCCTAATAATACTCTGTTTCCAGTTACTCAAATAACTAGCAAAAATTTAGGATAGCATGTTTATAGTTAATTTAATTTTAGAACTCATACTAGTAAATTATATGTCTAGATTCTTAGTACATAGATCAGTACTAAAACGAAAATAAAATAAAAAAAAAAATTAATTTATAAAAACAAAAAAAAAACTCAAATCCACGGAAACAAGTTATTGGAAAGACAATTTAATTTAGACACTTTAAAGATTTTTTTAGCTTCATTGTAAGCAAATTCAAACCAAACCAAACAGCTCTTTTCACTTAACTTTTTTCAATATGGCGGAATATTATCCGCCAAAGTAATCAAAATTGCTTTTTTTTAATAAAAATAAGTTGGTCCGTGTAAAAATAAAGCCGTGTCAAATATGAATTATTTAAAATTAAATACAATTTTAATTATTTATATGTATTTTCTACTGTTGATTTAAATGCTGCTGAGAAATATATACAGTGGATATAGAAAATACTATACAGGGTGAGTTTCGTACGATGTTCTCTATGGGTATCGCGGAAACTACTGGAGATAGAGAGTCGGTTAAATGGGGAAAGAATTGCAGTTTTGTGGGGTCATAAATATGCCCTTTTCAGATTTTTGAAAAAGTTCATGGCTTACTAGATATTTCGAAAAAAACAAATTTTGGCTATTTTAAAAATTGCCTCTAATTCCATGATAAAAAATAAAATTCATCACATCACATCCCTAATGAGTTTGTGTTCTCCGATTTTTTCTAAAGTCTGTCATTCTTGACGTATGACACAAACGTATTTTTTTTAAATAGAAAGATAGTTGGCTATGATTCCATAAAAAGCGCCATTTTTTAAGCTTTTCCGCGATATAAGTTTAATACAGCTATAATATGTTTTTTTTCACAAAACTACTGAATTTTGCCAATTCTTACCTTTCTTGACTAATTCGTAGGAAACTCAACCTGTATAATATAATACAAAAATAATAATAGTAAATAATAAATAGTTAATAGTAAATAGCAGACCACTTTAAAAAAGAGTAAATGATAAAATATTATTTTATTTCAAATCTTAAATATAAAATTATTTAATCTTTTAATTAAAGAAAATTAATTTATATTCATATTACAGATATGGTTTGAGCCAAACTAGAGTCAAAGCTAAAATAGTTTAATTTAGCCAAAACTTTGCTATACATGATATCAAGTAACTAAACGGAAAACAGTATCATTTTACAAATTTTAGAACATAATTAAAACCTAACCTTGAATCAGTCTATTATTTTGATGGGTTGTATTCAGATCTATGTATTCAGTCATTTATTATAAATACTGACTTTTATTCTAAATTACCCCTAACAATCAAATGAATATGTAATAATATCGTTTTATTTATTTAGAGTTTTAGTATAGCGCATTAAATAGTAGCTATTTAATGCGTTTAGTAAACGTATATTTCCGAATATCTTAGTTGTTCCAAAATAGGTAAATGTTATATATGTTCGGGAATGTAGATGACTTCTGCTGTGGCCATGACAGTATACTGTGGAAAAAGTTTTGTTTCCTCTTAACCTCATGTTTCTGCTGTTGACAAGAAATAAACTATTGTCTGTTGGCTGCACTCTAGCCAAATTTCGTGTAACTATAGTAGAGACTGAAATGGATTTTTTTTATTTATTTTAATATTCTATGGCCTAGATAATTATAAAATATTTATATAATTTTGTTTTTAAGAGATTGAATTAACTGTGAAACAAACTAATATAAATTTATTTATATTATTTAGGTGCAAAAAGCCATCATCAGCTGCTACTTTACCAGAATGTCTTTGAGAAACAATAATTATTCCCGTTGTCGACAATTGACACTCACATCTACCACTGGAGTAGTGGATTGCGAAAGAAATACCCTCACGTAAGTTAACTAGAACACTAACATGTACTTCCTAGTTTCCTATTATTTTTATAAAGTATTATATTAACTATTAAACATGTGTTTAATGATAGTCATTGTATATTGATGCCATAAAGTAGTTTTGTTTTTATTATATAAACCATAACGGGGGGTTAAATCCTTATATCATATTATTTATTAAGTTTTTCTTCTATACCTAATTAAATATTGTTTAAATTTATCCAAAAAACGAAGAAAAGTGTAGTCAGTTACTTTTGAAATGATAATCGATCATAATTTTTTTGTCAAAACTGAAATTTTGGGGTAAAAGTTATTGTGAGTGCTACATATACTGATGCTAAAAAAGTGTCGACAAATTCTCCAGGGGATATCAATGTAATATTTTTCTAAAAAAAAACATGTACGCCATTGACTTTTTTTTCTCTTATTAGCACAGTTGTGTAGGCCGTTTAATGCCCCGATTAAAAGTTCTCTCTTGATATTATGATTTTGGTCTCCTTGATAGTCTCATCAAGCTCATCAAACGCAATTTTATAAATCACAATTAATAAAATTTTATTAAAAATAAAATTAATAAATTGCTTATTTAATCTAATTTAGGTAGTATTAAACTTTATTAAAATTTATATCACTGATGTTTAGGCCACCTACAGAAAATTCCATGAAAATGGTATAATTACAAAAGACCTAGTTTTTAAAAGTTAACATCCTCTAACTTTAAAACTATATATTTCCGCATCCATGTTAATAGGAATTTTTTTTCATATTTTTTGATGAGAAAATAACAAGTACCTATTTAACATCTTGGCCAGTTACTGACATCAGAAAGTTTTAAAAGTTACTATTAGATTTGGATTCAAGGAGACAGAAATTAACAAAATATCAAAATCAACTTTTAATCGGCATTAAACGACCCACTAATTTTCCTAACAAGAGAAAAAAGTCAGTGGCGCACATAATTTTTTTTAGAAAAATACTCCAATCATAACCCTATCATAACCCATATGCACGTCCCTGGTGAATCTTGGTTGAATTTCCACACGATGCGAGAGACGGCTCATGTTTCTTAAAACACCCTGTATTATAAATTAATCAAATACTTTTCAAAAAGGTGTTTTAAAAAATGTATGCAGACTGTTAAACAAATAATATCTTTGCTGTCTATTTATACAGCAAAGAAGTGACTAATAAGATATTGATACTTTATTAAATCAATATAAAAATTCTATTTATTTCATCATTGGTCATTAGTTTAGTAGCCAGTTGGTAAAAACACAAACCTAAATAGTAAAAATGTATTTCTCTAGGGATCGCCAGAGCTGGATTGGTGTTTGTTGCAATCAACCGCCCCAATCTCCGGAGGAAAACGAATTGGAGTAAGTAAAGGAAAATTGATATATTTACTTCATTACAAGGTTTCCGTATTTTTCAGTTTGTGTTCGATTGGAGACAAGGGACAAAAACCAACAATTACAGCTGACGTCGAGAGCGATCCTTTTTTAAATGTACCACTTCAAAGGTAAGGCGTTATTAATTTTAATTAATTTGACCTTTGCATTTTTTTGATTTTTTATTCTTAAGTCTTGTTATTGAGGTTTTTAGTCGGATCAAAGCTTTTGTTTAAAAATACACATATGGCCAAAATTATTGCATATAACGATATGCAATATGACCCTGTTCCTCACAAAATTCGCGAACCGCTAAAGTGCGATGGGGAGGAGCATTATCGTCCATGTAAACAAATTCATCCCTCACTGCCCCTCGAAATGGACGCACAAAACGTCTCTAAGATATGAGGCAAATGTCATTGTGCCATCAATAAAAATAATAGGAGTTCAAGCTCCGTGCCTTATATCTGCCCATACCATAATGCTTCCTCCTTGAAACGAGACACGGGGTTGAGCTGCATTTAATCGTGCGACGAGCACGATTTAATGCGAATGAAATTCCAGATGCTCTCTAGACCAAAGTTCGTCACGAGACCAAAGTTAGTCACTAAGTCTATTCTTGTTTCATCACTAAACATGACGAAATGTCAATTAGGTCCATTTGCTCTCATCTCATCAGCCCATTGTAGTCGCGTAATTTTGTGCTGTAAATTAAGCTTTGGAACACGTAGAAGCCTCCTTAAATGTAATCCTCTGTCATGGAGTCTTCTTGCTATGGTCTTTCTTGAAACATTTACTCCTTTAAGGCGAGCTAACTCATTTTTAATAGCAGTACTAGAAAGCAGGGGATTGCGTCGTACAATTAGGGATATTTGACGGTCTTGCACAGCAGTAGTAACTCTCTTTCTACCTCTTGTAGGCCGGTCTGTAAGCTCGTTTGTCTCCCTGATTTTTTTTAATATTGCGAAACATCGCTTTGGTTAACTCCTACAATTTCAGCTATTAAAACTTGCCGGTAGCCCTGTTGAGACAGTTTCTAGGCATTTTAAGGCCAAAGCAATGGTCAAATTTCTTCTGAAACCCAAGAGACCACATATCGAAATGTGCAAGAATTGAATAATATTTGGGTCTGAACGATAAACATTGTTTACCATATTCATTTAAAATAACGAAAAATGTTTATTACAGATTATCAAAGTTATGTATAAAAAAAGATTCTTTAAATTCCTTTCCATATATTTTTAAACGATATCCTATATGCAATAATTTAGGCCATGTGTGTATTTCTTTAAATTAATGGTACCGCCATATTTAAAAAAAAAGAAAATTGAGCAGTAGCTTTGTAAATGGATACCCCAGTTTTTTTATCAAGTCAAATAAATTTACGTTATATGACAGGTTGTCTCTGTAAACGGGGGTTTAGACTCTCAGATAATTTACGGAAACTGATTGGAGTAAGCCATTTTGTTAAAAAATTTTGCGAATCTATTTTACTAACTGAGTGTGGAAAACTCAGTTTGTTGGTTAGTTAACCGTTGACAAAATTTACTAAAAAAATTGATTGGCAATTAGTTTTAGAATGAATGAATTAGCAACTTTAGAATTAATACTGGCAACTATTTTTGTCATTGTGGATCGCCCCATACATTGTTCTGTAGGCTGTTCTGTATATCTGTTATTAATGACAATACATTTTAGCATAATAAATATATTGTAAATATTCTTTTGAATGTATCTACAAAACTTTATCAATATATTCTATCAGAAAAAATATATCAACATGTTAGATTTTTTGTAAATAATATATTAGGTATTAGAGTCAATATTTTAACTCAATGTTATTACGTTATTTTTTCAGCAATGGAATTGTTTCACAACCGCCTGGATATCAACAGGAACGATCTTTATCAGAAACCAGTACTATTAAGGCTTAATATAGGATTTTACCTCTACTGTATTGTTTATTTTTATAATATATTTATAAATCATTATTTATGATTCTTAAAACCATTTCGTGTGAAATGATTATTTTGTACCTGAATGTTTTCTTACGTATTGTAATGTTAAGTGTTTATATCTAAGTACTTAATAAATTATTTTTTTTTGTTAAAATTTGTTTTTATTTCAAATATAAAGAATATCTCAGTAATTATATGAAGTTGTTTTCCATCTTAACATCAATGTATGTATAACCAATAAAGCTTTTAACTTCAAACATACGATCTAATAAATATTTTTGTGTTTAAATATTTTTTCAAAGTTCACAAAATTTCTGATTTGTGAATACATTTTTAAGTCAAAGATTATAACAAGACTTTAATAACATGCTCAAATTTTCAATCTGATTATTTTAGCATCAACATAGCAGTGGAATATAATTTAAAAGTTCTATTTCTGCAATGCTTTATATTATTGAATATTTACAGATTTAAGACAACAAGAATTGAAATAGATATTTACGATACAAGTGAGTTAACAGCATCATTAAGATACGCGTGTGAAAGTTGCGTAACCACACCAGTATTTTAATAGAGTTAACTCGCTTGTATTGTACAATATTTTATCTACGTCTAACTATAAAAACATACAATGAATTTTAAAAATATTTTTAACTAAAATAAAAAATAAAAATACATTCTAGGTAATTATATATCGAGAAACTATGGTTACGGGGCTCGTTGAATTTGACACTTTATGTCAGTTTAATAATATTGAAGGGGGGTTAATCTCTGCGACCTTAGAGATCTATTGTGTCCCTCTTTCTTGAGTTATAACTCATCATACAGTCCCAGGACTTCCTACGGAGACCTGTGTCCTTCACAGTCGAGGAGCTACGACCCAGGTCGGGTAGACGAAATGGTAGCTTGTGTCGCCTGTTGGGTTTAGAGGTAGGAGGTAGGGTCCCGACCCTTGGAGGAGGTGGTAGCTTGTATGCCACTTGCGGAGGATGGTCTCACGCAAGTATCAGCCACCTCTCCTGTAGTTCTCTTTGGGTTTGGCTCCTTGGAACTTTCATTGTTACTGTTCCCAGTGTCGCTAGGGGGTTTCCCCACAGCTTCACCGGTGATGTTTTTATTACTATTATTACCAGATCTCATAGTGTTCCCATGAGTCGCTAGGGCCAGTCGGTCCACTTCTACAGAGCCTCGCATGTAGAAGTAAGGGGTAAAATACAATGGGGTGCCCCCCGATGCCCCAAGGTTGAGGCTGTCCGTAGCCCCGTCCGGTATCGTTATATGTCGGTGCAATTCCCTGGCCCCGACACTACAGTCAGGGACAAGACGATGAGTGAGATGCTTCTTAGACCAAGCCAAGTGCTAGGGGGGATTCCCCCAAGCACCTGACCAGGAGCTTCCCCACCAACGACAAGGTCTTGCATCTCTTAGGGGAAGTCTTGCATGTTTCTCTTGAATATTTGTATTTAGTAGGTATCTATTTAGTGCAAAATAAATGTTTTACAAAATATTTTTTTCTCTTTGGTAGTCAACTCTAAACAAGGAGTGCGGTAATGAAAATGCGTGAGTTAAGAAGCTCTTAACTCACTGAAAATGCGTGAGTTAAGAACTTCTTAACTCACTGACGTAGATAAAAGAAATTTACAATTATATAGTATTTGATAACATTTTTTATTTTAAATATTTTGTATAGTTTTACTTTATAAATATTATATAATATTTATTTTTTATGATAATATAATACAATTTGAACTATAGTTATAACACAAATAAATACAGGGTGAGTTTTCTACGATATTCTCTATGTATATCTCGGAAACTACTGAAGATAGAGAGTCGGTAAAATGGGGAAAGAATTATTGCAGTTTTGTCGGGTTATGAATATGCGCCTGTCAGATTTTTAAAAAAGTTTATGGCTTTCTTAATATTTAAAAAAAACAAATTTCGGTTATTTTAAAAACGATCCCTAATTTCATTATAATATATTTAAAAAAAAGTTTTCAGATAAAAGTTCTAATCTAATAATCCCATCCTTAATGAGACTGTGTTCTCCGTTTTTATCTAAAGCCTACTATTTTTGACATATGACACAAAAATATGTCTTTTTAATGGAAACGAGAGTTGGCCATGACTTCATAAAAAGCACTATTTTTTAAGCTTTCTATCGATATAAGCTATAATAGGTTAGTAATAGGCTTTTTCAAAAAATTACTGAGTTATAGCCAATTGTTATCATTTTTAAACAATTTCACTTAATTAGCCAGGGTTATAAGTTCAATCGTCGTTGCCTTGCCGAGATGTCTTCTCTGACAGAACGATCGGTCGACTTTATTAAACTTTCCCCGTATCGGCCTCTTTGAGTGCCTCTCTTGATTCATAAATTTTATACTAAGCCTTGTTGTTAAACATACATCATAAAAAAATTAAAATGGATAGGTCAAGTGATCTCTTCCTATCCCTGAGCTTACCCAGTTATGAAACCGGTGAAATAATGACCGGTGAAAGTTATCACAGGTCCAAGAACCATAGAGAACATCGTAGAAAACTCACTCTGTATATAATTTGAAGTTAACCTTAATTATAAGGTCATTTATTGTATTCAATTAGTACTGAAATTTAATTCATATTTCGATTCGTACTAGCATATATTTTTCTAGTGTTTATTTTATACAATATTCAAAAGGTACATACATACACACAGATGAAAATTAATGTACAATATATAATCTGCAAACATGAAATCTTTGATCAGCTTAGAAAGTATATGTTTACATATTTGTACGTATATATCTACACCTTTAATATCAGATATAAAAGAATATAAAAAGTGTATCATGTCTTAATATGTTATGATTATTTTAGAGTGATCAGAATAATAACACATTTTTAAACCATCCTTTAACTTGATTTAACCCCTATTGTTAAAAATAAAATAAAACTACATTTCAACTTAAATATGTATTTACAAATAAATTACCAATCATATAAAAATAAGTCTTATATAAATGGTATTGTGCTGCGCTATCCTAATACAAATCACATACTACTTTTAAAGTTTATCTGATCGTTAGATGATTCACTATATCCTGTTTTTCTTAATGTCGTTCGAATGCCGCTGCTTCGATAATTTGTATTTATTGCTTTTGTAGAATACTTCTTGTTGGTACACATCAAGATTTCTTTCATTCCTCTGAAACGAATCAATAAATATAGTTTTAATTTAGAACCGAAGTACAGATGGCGTTTATTGATTTTTAGTAAATATAGATTACCTTCTGAAATTCTTCGAAAAGAATGCATACAGTAAAGGATTCACTCCTGAATTGAAGTAAGTAGAGAGAAATGTAAGAGGTGTCAGCAGAGCACTGAAGTTTGTATGCCCCTGGTAGTTAGATGACCAATATTGCCACATCTTTCTTACGTGGAAAGGAAGGTTGCATAAAGCAAAGGCGCAGACAATTATTATTAACATTTTAATAACTCCTCTTCTGGCATTTAAAACCTTCTGTGTTATATTGGGATTTTGTGCACTACTTGTTGAAGTTTGTAGGTAGTTTTCTTTTCCATTTTGTACCTAAAAAATTATAGAATTGAACAAGGAACAAAGTGCAATATTTCTTTAAAAAAAAGAGTTTACCTTGTTTATGAAAATATAATATTTTCAGAAAGCTATAGATAACAAGGCAAATAAAATAAAAAATATATAAAATCAAGTTTGTTACTTAATACCATTACTGAGTTTAAGCGTGAAAAAGTGTTCACCTTTCCGATAAGTTATAATATAATTAAGACACTAGGAGAATCAAAAAATGTACAATTTCAAATTTGTTTTGTATTTCGGAACTAAGAGTGGTAGGACAAATCTGTGTTCAGCATCTGTAGTTACACAAGCATAGTGATGTAAAAACGGCATTTTCGTATCTCTATTCATAAACGAGAAATTCCATAAACCATAGGAAAATGGGACACAATGTACAATAAATATCAAAATTAAAAGAACAGTGTATAGTTAACGAGATAAAACAGAATTATAACACAAACCTATTTTAATAGAAAATAATAATAAAATTGTTAAATTCAATAACATTAGTAACATCAATTTTGCCAAATAATAAAATATTTTTATAACGAATAAAAATTATATATTGAGTTTAAATATCGTTATACGAAAATTATCAATTTTTTTCTTGTACGTATTATTAATTTAATTACCTTCTTATCCAAATAGAGGGATTTTCTTTTCATAGAGTCGTAATGAGTTATTGTTATAGAGGCATCCAGTTGATCTTTAAGTTGTTCTGAACTGTTCCAAAGGCATATTGCTATCCTTGTGTAAAGTAGCTGTAATCATTAAATTATATTTAACTTAGATATTATAACTCTCGGTGATATAGAATTGGATCTATATTGTTCTTACTAAGAACAATTTTTAAATTAATAATAAATTATTATTAAAACAATCTACCTACGTTTACTTTATATTGCTATCAAATATTTTGTGGGTAAGTAGAAGGCCGAAAATTTATGCCTGTCATGAACAATTAAACTAAGATTTGATTTTCAACTTTCAAAGGCAGTAGGCTAAGTACGATTTCGATAAAAAAAACGGCGTTATAGGCAGCTGGGGAATGAAATTCAATGATAATTTTGGCGATAGCAAGCCCTAGACGTCATTTACTTAGCCCGTACTTTTCTATATTTTTTAATGGCACTTACCGCCAGTTGGTCTTAAAATGTAATTTGTTTTTATACTAAGTAAAAGTGATTTTTAAATGCTGTAGTTTAAAATTCAAGATTTTTCTTTCGAACTTGACAAAAGTGTTATTATTTGCGACGTGATTGACAATATAAAAAAACCATTTTAACGCCTAGACATAAAGATAAAGCATTTTTACTTAAACTGACCATAAAACGTCAAATTCAACGAGCATAACCATAGTTCCTCGACATATAATTACAAACACGGTGTTAATTTTAAATATTTTTATATTTTTTGGAACGTTTGAAATCGTTTAAAAAATTATTTGTGGCATTTGAATGAAAATAGCTTGTTCTATTCGGAGTAAAAATAACTTTTTGTGGCTTAAACGTACAGCTTCGCGACAAAATTTACTCTTTATATAATAAACAATATACAATTTTTCGAAATAGATTTGTATATCTCGGAACGTTCTATTCTTTTTTAATCTTTATAAAATTAGTGTTAATTGTTGGCAAGTTTTATGTTAATTTTTAGGAAATCACTTATAGAGACTGACCTCGCCAAATTATCATCGACTGTTATTATTATCATGACTCCCAACCGTTTTAGACGCTGTTTTTTATAATTTGGTATAATTCTTTTGTTGTGCGTTAAGTTAAAAAAAAATCCATAGGTTGATTCTCACTATACCTTCCATATCAGCTCCCTTCCGTTTCCCTTCCGTTTACATAAAATATTATATCATGTAAAGGAATAGGACAATGCACACTATCCGTTCCGTTTCCCTTTTGTCCCATATCCGTTCCTTCCATACATTTTTTTGGCGGACGGACTGAAGCGTATCGGAAACAGCGTTGTCAAGTTCTTACATTTGTACCATCTCTGTTAACATTTTGCTAATATCTATTTTTATTCTTTCACCTCTTAATTAAATCTATTACCTTTTTCAAAGATACAAATTTTTAAAATAAACCTTTCGTAATGATATAAATTGTACAATAAAAAGTATGGAACTGATACGGAATGGAAGCTTACGTATAGCGTCACTACAATAAAAAATACGCGGAACGGATATGGAATTGATATGGAATGGAAACGGAAGGTATAGTGAGAATCAACCCTTACTGTTTATGTTTTCGCAAACATATTTTACTTAATTTATAATTTCAGAAACAAAAAAACAAAGAGAATACATTTGAGCTGAGAAAACACCTAATAAATGCATTCTTTATTTAACGATTTTACTAAAGATTTTGTTTCCTAATATCTAAACTAAAGCTAGCATCAATGTTTGCTATATAAGCCATATCCTAACACTATCATATTTTGTGTTATAATATTATTGACCCTACAACATTGTTATGTCCTATCAAAATTTAATTAACGCTCTACATTTACTCGGCTCTTGTAATTATTATGATGAAACTAATCTTTAATCTAGTATTAAGATTAGGACATTGTTTGATTAGAACTACACAAAGAACTAGATTAATATAAAACCCTTTGATGCACTTACCGATATTATAGCCAGAGGAATCAAATATAACAACGCGAAATGAATAATGTCAAAGAGCTCGGAGTTGAATTTTTGTCTATTGAGCACACATACTGTTTCGCTACCATTTCCTGTATCGACTGTCACGGTATTACCCCAATAGAATTTTGGAGAGCTATATAGGATGCACGTTATCCAGACTATTAGGATTATTACCTAAAAATAATGTAAAAATATTGTATCAGATATTTATTATTTATAAAATTACATGTTTTTTATAAGGTAAATTGTATAAGACAATAAAAATTTCTAGATCCACAGAAAATTTTCGCTAAGTAGAAGTTATTAGTAGCGAAACAAAAACGCAAATTGACATTATATATAGCAATATATTACATACTGGGTGTTCTATAAAAGTGGCTCATTCCTTTAATTCCTAGGATCCTTGACTAAAAATTAGTGGTTTTAACATTCTAGATTTTTATTTCAAAAACTATTTTTTAAGGGAAAATGTAAAAAGTTGACATACGATATGTCATTCTCTTTAGCATGTCATTTTCTATCAAATAAAGTAAACAAATACTGATGGTATCATTGAAAAATTAAAAGTTAAAATAAGTTAGGTTAGGTTAGTTAAAATAACAAATCTCGTTTTTATATTTGAAAAAATAAAAAAGTTATAGGGGAGAGCCACCTTTGAAAATTGCCCGGTATATATTCTTATTTAACAGTATACCGGGTGCATCTCAAAAGTGGCTCACCCCTATAACTTTTTAATTTTTTCAGATAAAAAACGAGATTTGCTATATTAGTATATGACATAAATTAGGATTGATTGACATATTCATTTGTTTTCTGTCACTTCCTGTTTTGCCGGAAATTACGACAACTTTTGATTTTTAAATGGCACCCCTGGTATTTTTTACTTCATTCGATAGAAAGTGACATTCTGAATAGAATGACATATCATATGTCAACTTTTGACATTTTTATTTAAAACAAAATTGAATTTTAAATTTCAATTTAGAGTGCCATGGCTGTGTTAAAAACACTAATTTTTATTCAAGGAGTCTTGGAAAAATAGATTTGACCGTATAATGTTATTTTGGTTAAAAGATGCCCAAATCGTATTTTTAATCACATCTCAATTTTTTCAAATGAAACGAGGATGACTCATTAGCATATTTGGAAAAAGCATTTTTTTGCGAATAATTTGATACCACACACTTGGTATTTCGAGTCAAATTATCGTTATGAATCGCATGTTGCAATTTAAAATAAACCATATGCGAAAATGTATGATATGTCATTCTATTCAGAGTATCATTTTCTATCGAATAAAGCAACAAAAAACCGAGGGTACCATTTAAAAATCAAAAGTTGTAGTCATTTCCGGCGAAACAAGAAGTGAAAGAAAACAATTAAATACGCCAATTAATCCTAATTTAAGTCATATATTAAAATACCAAATCTCAATTTTTTATCTGAAAAAATAAAAAAGTTACAGGGGGTGAGCCACTTTTGAGACGCACCCGGTATATGGGGCGTTAATAAGACTAGATCAATAGTTTTCAACAGACTGTAAAAAAAGTGTTGTATGACTCGACCAGCGATGAGGAGTTACAAAAACAAGTATTCGCAAACTTTAAGTAATTCCTGTAAAATATTTAAAAAAAAAACACATACGTTTGACCTAAGGAAACCATTTAATGGGAATTATAATGTAGTAACTTTTATTCCTTTACCTAATTTTATTTAGTATCAGTTTATAGTCAAGCTTCAAAAATGTTAATTTATTTTAGAATAATCTTAGCTACTGAAAATTATTATATTTTAGGGAAATATATCTATTAGCTACAAGCTACAATTTTAAAATAAAATCAATAATTTTTCGAAAGGGCAGACCGAGGGGCAGACCATTGTCGTTAACCTCATCCCTAGACAGATTTTTCTTTAAGGAGCCCAGCCAATCTTATATCCCATTCTTCCACTGTCTCTAGGCTTATCTTGAATTGAGAAAATAGAGCTGTCTATTGACAGAGCGTGGATAGATGCTGTTTTCACACAGAGCACTTTCGGTGTTGCTCATTATTATTCCCAGTGTTACACCCTCTTAATAGAATTTTGCTCAATTCTATTAATAGTAAAATTTCATAGAAAAGCTTAAGATATATTCTCTATTTCTATTATTAAAAATGAATATTTCTTCCTAATTTGAAACTGAAATAAATAAGTTTTTAAGTCTTGTTTTAGATATCTTTCTATTATAAAAAAAAAGAAAATATATTTCTTCAACATTTATTTTTAGTTACGTTACAGTTTGAATTTAAGCGATAATTTTTGATACAAATCCATTAGCAACTGCACTTCAATGCAGTACAATGAGTCAATCATCAGTATTATTGCTAAGACAAAAATATTGAAAGAAAAAAATGTCTATACCTATATATGGCGGATTCATCTTTCCAAAAAAATCACATCTAGACCCTTAAATGTTAGAATTAAAGAACATAAAAGTTATTTAAGAAAGGGAGATTTTCACAAATCTAAGATTTGTCAGCTTTCCTGGGACACAGGGCACAGAAAAAATTTTAATAACGCCAAAATTATAATGAAAGTAGCGATAGCCTCTAAAAGAAAAATAAAAGAGGCTTTCTAATTCAATCTAATAAAAATAAATGTATTGCTCATGCATCTGTAGATGTTAGTAATGTATGGCAATCGCTTCTTTGATTTTAAAAAACAATAGATACAACAATATAAATAAATATAACATACGTAAAATTTAAAAATAATCATACAGAAAGTTTGGGGCTTTTTGGTTTTACCTTATTAAGTAATTGTTATCAGGTAGTAATTGTTAATTTTGAAGTTTAAATATCAAGTAAAAAATGTCATTTTAACAGAACGTCAAGGTTTTTTTGTAGACGTATCTGTTTTAAAAAAGTAAAGTGTTTTCGAATAGTTGAATTTAAATATTTTAAATAGTTTTTTTTCTTTATTCTTTGTATTTTTTTGCATCCGACGACGGAAAGAGATAACTTTCCGAAACGGTAAGCATTTTTTTTCTTTGTTAGGCAAATTTTGTATTACTGTAAACATAACTTCTGACAAGCAGAGTCCGTTTAGGTTTAACGCAGAAGTGTTTACAAAAAATAATTATTTTATTTTGTAGATTTTCTTGCAGTGCAGTGGCGAAATACCCATAAAGGATTTTTTTGAAAAAATATTGAATTTTTATATTTCTGGAACATCTTCATCTTTATTTTTTTTGTGTGAGCAGTTTTCGATGGCTATTAAGCATGGGCTACTGATATTTAGAAACACTCATGGGTATAAACAAGTTCTAAAACACGTGTCAAAAAATATTTATTATTGCGACTCTTAGTTGACAAAAACTACCAGTTTCTGACAACCAAGAGTCGTAACAGGTACTATCGCAATATAGATTATTTGTTAGATTATACTAGATAATAGTTAAAATTAATAATTGTTGGCCTACTAAAGAGGTATATTGTACAAAATATCATTTTGAAAAATTATAATTTATTTTATATAATAAGAAACCGGTTTGTTTGTAATATAATTTTTATTATGACATTAACAAATGTTGCATTTTGATGTTGTTTATTGAAGTAAAAGAAAATAATAAGACACTGAAAAAATGTGTAAAATTAAAGGGTAAAGATATATCCTAGTTATTTCCGAGTGTGGCAACATAATTATATATTCTAAGCCTTGAAGTGCTCTCTATATATACCATATAGGTGGGTTATATTAAGATTTATTCATTCTCCAGTCCCCACAATGTTTTTTTCTATAAATGTAGTAATAAATATATTTTTAGGCATTGTAAAACCAGTAGTAGCTTAAGAACAGTAAAACATATATTTTTTTATTTAACTTTTATTAGAAGTTTATATAAATTTTATGATAATGCTACTTACTAATTTCTAATTCTACGTTGAAAATATCAAATTGTATTGCATACTAATATTAGTGTAATAGTTAGTGTAGTAATTAATTTTTTAATCCACTAATTTTACCAATTTTGCAAAAAAAAATATTTAAATTTTTAAAGAAGAACTAAATTAAACATTTCAATTTTTATGACTAAATATTTAGAATATACTTATTATTTTAAAGAAGCTTACCTTTAGTTTAACAGTTGTCAATATTAGCTTGGACGTTATTGGATATAAAATAGCAAAGTATCGTTCCGTACAAATAACAACCAGTATAACTATACTTGCTGAGTTACTGAAAGATTGTATGAAAACGTACATTTTGCATAGAAACTCTCCTAAGATCCAGCTAAAAGGAAATCAAGCTAATTACTATATGAGATCACTCTATCATGTTTAACAGACTTAATCTAAACTCAATAAACTTTGACTTAGTCACAAATTAACAGTATGGGTAAATATTATGTAAATATACTAACGGCAAAAATAATCAGTATTTTTCTACATAAAGACATGGAGTGGTGTGGAAAGAATTCGCCGCCATTTTAGTGCATTATTAGTGTCACCAAATTTTTTTCTGTGACGTGCTGCTCGGTGTGAAACACTTTTCTTGTAATGGAGAGTTTGCATAAAATGTGTCATATAACAATCACTTAAAAATAAAAATGAATAGTGATTTGACAATAAAAGATAAAACCGACAGAAAACTAGTTTTGCTTGAAAAACATTTTATGTAAAGAAGTCTGTGATACGCCATGTCAGCAGTTAAGAGTTAATAAAGTTATATCAAATTTCATATATATATGAAACCGTTACCACAACCGATATTAACTATGAACTACAGTTTAATAGACCTGTCTTTGGACTGGTCTGGGCACGTAAAATTGTATACGGAAATAGTTTAGTTAATGTAGAGATTTTGAGGTATTAAAATATTTAGACATGACCTGGATGGGAAGCGAAATTAATAATACAAAAAATAAGATTTTTCATAATATTAGATTATAAATTTAGCTAAAATGTAAAATTCAGCACAAAGTTATATTCTATTAAATAAATAATATTAAAAATACATTTTTAAGAATGTTTTTCCGTGATATTTATAGCGAATATTTTTCTTTAAACTGACTATAATATTGCATATTATTATTCCCTTATAATTTTCGCATTTATTAACCTTTAAAGTATAATAGACATCAATATTTTAGTCATAAAACCGAAGCATGGTACAAGAAGCTCAAAAAGAACTCATATTTAACAAATGTGTATTTTTATGTATAGGAAATATGTGAAACAAAGATTATTATAAAAAACCCATAAAAGTCGCTAGGAAAAGAATACAAAAACCAAGAACGTGTCTTTGGAATATTAAAATTTGAAGTTAATATACATTTTCTATATGAAATTAAAAAAATCAGTACAATTAATACAATAAATTTAGTTAAGTTTATAATTATATTTTCTTTTATTTTTAGGTCGTGATTGATAGTTATAAATGTACTCTGAGCTTTGGCATATATTTGATTCTAAAAAATATACTTCTTTAGAAAGAAAAACACCAAAAAATATGAACGAAAAATCGGGATAAAATTGAAATAAATTGCCTACAGTGTTGTTAGTAACTGAATATAAAAGACTCTTTATTTTTTACCTTGAATAAAAAACAAAAGCGAATGGGTCCTTGGAATGTCAACTTTTCAGAAACAAATAATTAAGCATACCGTTAAACAAAGGACGGTTGTCTTTGATGTAATATTGTAAGTAAAACGTTTAGAGTTTCTGGAGAGAAGACAAGGTTCTAGTCAGTCTATATTTAACCTGTTAAATCACATTTTCTTCTTATGTTATTTGTGTATTGTTATATGGCAAAAATGCCTAAGTCTGTGTTATGATTAAAAAATCTCCATTACTGAACCAAAAAAAAAATACTACAAAATTATTCTCAATAATTATTGTTTTATTAAGACCGAGCGCCTAGCGTACCCCTATTTTGTGAAAAAAGTTGCAGATTTGTTGAGCTTGCAACTCTTTTGCAATCTCGGTAACGGATAGTAGTGTGAAGCCGCACACGAATCGATTCGAATGGAACTACACTTTTCCAATAAATTGACGCACCACATTATTAAATCAGGTTTATTGATATTAAAAAAATCGACATATAGTAAAGTTAATTATAGTTAAACTACTTCTTATTGCTAGGTTTTACAATGGATAAAGTTTTGTTTAATCTTAAGAAAAAAAAGTAAAAACTCTGAAATTAGAGACATAAAAATAAAATTGACAAAAAAAAATTTAGAAGCGAGTGTTTCCACTTCTGGCACGAATGGCCTCTTGGCATCGTTGATTCAGCCAAGCGCGTCTTGATTGCGTCTTGATCCAAATTTTCCTAGATATAGATTAGCCTCTCACTCAACGCTTCCAGATAGTTTGGTTTGGGTGGTTCTGATCTTAACCGCCTATTTAAGATATCCCACAGGTTTTCAATAGGATTTAGGTCTGGACTACGAACCGGCCATGCCAGGGTGTTAATTTGGACCTCGTCTAGATAATTTCTGACAACTCGTGTAACGTGCGGTCTGGCGTTATCTTGCATTTACAAGAAATTTTCACCAATATATTGTGCGAAAAGTACTACATGTTGTTGAAGGAAGTCTTATATGTACCGCTCAGCGGTTAAACTTCGATTGTTTATAACCACAATTGATCCTCTTCCAAATAATTTAGTTTGTGAGAAATTACATTGGCATAACGTTCAGTGGGTCGTCGTGGACACGTCTATCATTATTGTACAGGCAAAATCAGGACTCATCTGTAAATAGCACACGTTTCCAATCAGCCTCTAACCAATTTACGTGTTCTCTGGCAAAACGTAGTCTTTTTTGTCCGTGATCTATGGTTAAAGCAGGACCTCGAGCAGCAATTCTTGGTCTTAAATCAGATTCTCTTAATCGTAATCGAACTGTTTCAGCACTAATTTGCAGATTATTGGCCTCACGCATTTGAATCTGTAATCCAGGCTATGGCTGTCTTAGAGCCAGAATTCTTAAAAAATCTATCTTGATTTGGTGTTGTTATGCGATTTTGACCTTGTCTTGACCTACGAGAATGATTTACTTTTTCTAGGAATCTTAGTACTACCCATGAAATGGTTGTATGATTAACATCAAATCGACGACCATTCTTCGCTAGTTAAATTTCGACTGGGACGTTCCATAATAATTAAAATTAATGAAGATTTGGAAAAGAAATACAAAGTAAACGCAGGGGGTGCTTTAGAAATACTGAGAACTAATTCATTTCTGATACTACTTGTTAGTGAATTCTTTTAAAAAAAAGTTAACAAAAAATTGGCACATATCGGGCAAAAACTATACAAAAGCTAGGAATTCCTTTCTGAAAAAAAAATATACCGGGTTTGTCTTAAAGTAACATCAAATTATCTTAAAATTTCAAACTGGTGCGTTAATTTTTTGGAGAAGTGTATTTTGGAATTGTTGTTAACTTTTTTTTATATATTATATCAAAAAACTGTCTAATTTGAACGAGGCTGAAAGAGGAAAACTTAGAGGTCTTACAACCACTAGAACTAAAAGTTTGTCTTTTATTTATTAACTGAATAAAAAGGAATTTGGGAAAACTAATTTTATTCACCCGCTTCAAAAGCACTTGAAATTATTAATCAGCTTACCTCTCTACAATGTAAATCAGCAGATTTTGGTAAACGCAAAATACACCCACGCAAAAATCTGCAGCTGCTAAATTTGCTAGAAAGAAATTCGTCGTCGTTCGTAATCTGCGACTTAATGTCACTACCAGGATTACTAGAAGGTTACCTAAAAATATGTAAAATAGGAAGAAAAATATTAAATACACACATTATCACCCATATAATCCATATCAAATAATAGTTATTTGTGTATCAAGGCCGTAAAGTTGATCTAAAAAAAAAAGACCATACGGCCGAGGTGCACACAAAATTTTTTAGCGAGTGTCTTTTGAAGTAACTAACAACTTTTTTTACAATTTTGTTTCTAAATAAAGACGAAACTGGAAGATTAGATTCAAATTTTTATTAGCCAAATGAAAAGTGTATTATTAAGTAACAGAGATGTGTACAAAATTACTTACAGTATTATAAACAGAAGTTAGTTAATAAATTAGGGCATTATTTGCTATTAATTGTTAGGTTAAATGAGCATTTATTACATTTTGAAAAAGTAATACCAGTTTCAGACATGACATTGTTAACAAACATTTCATTTTCTTGATTTTCAGTAACAATGGTTCTTGTTGGAAAGCTGCTGACTGAAGTTCCATTTAAAAAATTAAATAGTTAATTAATTAATTTTTTGAAAGCTTGTAAATAAATAGCCTAGCAACGGAACCTTTTCTTTTGTTTTATGAGTAAATAATACAAACATGCAAATTAAGTGTGTCTACTAGGCCGCCTTTATAATTTGACAATCTTAATATCGGATTTGGAAATAACTCAAATAAGTAAATTAATTGTGTCTAGTAGGCTGCCTTCATAAGGACTTTGTTTGCAAAAGCGGCCGTAAAGTAAAAGAGCGGCCAAAGAAATAACATTTAAGGGACGTTAATAGATCCGTAAAACTTAATTTTTTGTGACACTCGCTAAAAAAATATTTTATACTGATCAGTTTCAGTTGATTACTTTTTGTTCATACCTCATGGATTACTTACATAATAAATAAAATATTTATATTACTTGGTCCTAAATGTAACTCAGATTAAAAGAGTTTATTTATTGAAATGTAATAACCTATATCTATTAACTATTATTTATCAAAGTCTATAGGTATATTCAAATTGATCGCTTTCTTTGCGATAATAATATATTACTACTACGTCACTTCATAGGCAAATTTAGATCAAATTTTTTGTATTTGTCTATGAAAAACATTTTCCAATAATATTTCCTTTATTTCTGATTTATTTTATAATTGTTTTTAAATGCAAATATGCCACAACACATTAATTTTTACCATAAATAAATTCAATTCTACACTAAAATTTATTTTAAAAACACAAACGTTTGTCGCGAAATAATGCGTTTCATTATTTATTTGCAAAAATATTTATGAATCACCAGCAATCAATTTGAAAGGTAATTTTAATTAATATTTTACGATAAAATTAATAATTCATTACAGCGATTTTTTACAGATACTCATTTTTCATCTAGTTCATAAAGAAAAATATTATAGACAACAGTTTAAATAGACATATTCAAAATATATAACACTATTTTGTTACAGTAGAAGAAATCACTATTTTCAGGTTAATAATTTTGTTTTGCATCATTTGTATATTTGTTTCACTGAGAGATGGTGTAGGACTGTTTCACTGAGAGATGGTGTAGGACTGTCGGGCTGAGTATCAACTCAGACAAAACCGCGATAGTGCCATTCACCAGAAGGCGAAGTCTGAAAAACTTGAAAAGAATCCAACTAGGTGGAAAGGAAATACTGCCAACACAGGAAGTCAAATACCTGGGAATAACCCTGGACAGTAAACTCCTGTGGAACAGGCATATTAAGAACACTACCAGCAAAGCCATAAAGGCTCTCATGATATGCAGAAGACTGGCCGGAAATAGATGGGGCTGCTCCCCTAACATTTTGCGCTGGATGTATACCATGATAGTAAGACCCATGATTACTTATGGAGCAGTTGCCTGGTACACAAAACTAGAGCAACGGACGGCAAGGCTAAACCTATGAAAGTCCAGAGACTAGCATGTGTTTGCATCACAGGAGCCATGAGAACCTGTCCAATAGCAGCAATGGAGGTCATTCTAGATCTAACACCACTGCACATTGTCATTGGTAGATATGCCAATGCGACAATGATTAGAATGGTCACTAACGGAATTAGTACTGGGAGAATTGTCAGATCAGGGGCTTGGAACACCCTCAAAAAGGAAATACAACTCATGCAACTCCCAGTGGACGTATGCCAAGAACGTACAACTTTGAGAAACATCTCAATGTAGTATTGATCAATAAAAAGGATTGGAAGAGCGAAACGCTTGCCCAGCAGTTAAAAGACCATAACTTGGTATACTGATGCTTCCAAAACCAATACGGGAACAGGGATCGGAGTGTTTGGGCCGAGAGCTAAATACTCCGAACCAATGGGCACTTACCCTAGTATCCTACAGGCTATAATCTACGCTATCGAAAGATGCGTACAACTTATCTTTGATAGGAACTATCGGAAACAAGAAATAGCCATCTTGTCTGATAGTCAAGCAGCGTTAAAAGCGATCAACTCAGTATCAATCAATTCGAAATTGGTCAAACAATGCATAGAGAAGCTGAATAAATTAGGCAAAGAAAACAAAGTCCTCCTACTCTGGGTGCCTGCTCACCAAGGGATAGAAGGCAATGAAAAAGCAAATAATCTAGCTAGGAAAGGAGCGAACACTCCACTAAGTGGACCAGAACCGTTCTGCTTTCCAAGTGGTAACCAACTCAAGGCGGAACTAAAGAACTTGGAAGATTCCATCCGCAACCTGGAATGGAAATCTTGCAATGGTCTAAGACACTCGAAGAAGTTTCTGAGGGCTTATGATCAAGAAAAATCACAGACCTTCCTGGGTCTGAGTAAGAACAATCTTCGGATTGTCACGGGGTTTTTAACAGGGCACTGTCTCCTCAATGAACACCTCAGTAGATTGAAACTAAGAAGAAACGGCGAATGCAGATTCTGTGGGGAAGATGGGGTAACACCAGTACACCTCATCACTGAGTGCGCCGAGACGACAACCATTCGTGCCATGAATTTTGGTACGACTGATATTGGAGATGGAGAACTACCCTCTATAAAACCGTCCCAGATACTGGCTTTTGTCAAAGCCCTGGGACTGTATGATGAGTTATGATTCAAGAAAGGGGGACACAATGGATCTGTAAGGTCGAAGTGATTAACCCCCCTCCCACTCATTCCAAATTCTAAATTCTAATATTTGTTTCAATCTGCTCTCTATTGATTTGATATAGTTAACATAACTTGTACATTTTGTAGAAAGTAATAAAAATTGTGTGTGCACAATGTGCGCATATTTGAAGTAAAACTTTTTACTAAACGCTATTAAATTGAAGGATTTAAAGGAGACGTTTGAAAAAGTATGTAGTATGTAGTTTGAAATGTTAAGAAAGTAATAAATTAAAACGATATTATATAGTTTTTTACGTGTAACAAATATTTTTTTACATGTAACACATCGTTTTTACAAATAGTTTATACGCGTAAAATAAAAAAAAATGATTGACTTTTACAAAATTTAAATCTATCTTAAAATATCAATATTTTTATAAACACGTGGACTGCTCACAAATACACGTCGTATCACTACATATTTCTACGCCGTTACCACTAGCGTGTGTGTCATAGGCAGGGTTCGGAAGTAGTTAATTAAGACGTAATTTACCTGATTAACTACGTGTAGTTTTTCTTCAAAAACTACGTCTTTCCTCGTTCATTAACTACATGAAAACTACGTTAATAAACTATGTATTGATATTATGAATAATTTTCCTTTTTATGAGTTGTCTAAAAAATATGATGTGAATATTATATTTAAAGCCATATTTCTTCTGTTTTCTTAAATACATCATGTGTTTTCTAAAGCTTCAACTTATTATAACCTCACCTCAAACTCTTTTGATATTTGAAAGTTACATACATAGGTTACATAAACTACACCCACTACATTAACTACATGTAATGTAGTTTATGTAGTTTTTAAAAGTAATATGTAGATTTCCGAACCCTGATCATAGCCATCTCGCTAGCTCTTGTGACACGGCCTTGAATTTTTAATCCCAGCTCGCGTAAAATGTTATACTTCAGAAAAGCAAAGATGTAATACTTTTTTTATTTAAATCATGGCGTTATAACTCTTTCTCCAAAGTGTATTTTAAAATATACGCATTTGTATATACGATATGTACTATAGTGTGGATGTGTAGATGTATATTCAATTCAAATATTTCTTTATAGAAATGAAATATTTGCTTTAAGTAAAAAGTGTCACTTGCATACGGTTGCATTTGATAACCTTTAAAACCGGATTTTTTTAATTTATTGAAATATATATTTTTACATAAGCAAAAAGTTAAATAAGTTGAATTATAGTAGTTTCACCTTGGCTTTTAAATTATTAATAATCATCTTTTTATGTACTATATAAATTTTGTAAAATATATGTGATTTCTGATAGTCATATATCATTATTTTCTGAAAACCACAAAAAAGAAAAAGTTAAACTGGAGTTCGGATCAAATCGAAATAAAATTACCTACATTTGTAAGAATCTTGTACTATAAAGCTTTCAAACAACTGTATTAAGGTATTGAAAGAATTGAATTTATCTTCTTAAGATTTTTTTAAATGACTTTCCTTAATAAAACATAGCATTAAATATAATTGGTACGTTGTACGTATAATAAAATGTTATTTAGTAGATTTTGGAATATTTTATTTAAGAATTTAGAGATAAGTGCAAATTTGTAAGGACAACGTGTGGTACCTGTATTGTTAATTTATTAACACTACAGTTTTTGTTATGGTAAATACATTATTAAGGTAAAGAGACAATAAAACTGTACTGTAAGAACTGTACTTTAATAATTTTAATATTAAAAAGTTTTAACATAATTTTTGAAATTATGAGACCCATTTTGTTAATTCTTTTAATGATGAATTAAAAAACAATGTGTGCACTATGTGCGCATATTTGAAGGAAAACTTCTTACTAACAGCTATTAAATTGATGGATTTCAAGGATATATATTTTTTTATAAATACTTTTTATAAACTTCAAAAAATTAGAGTTAATATAAAACGGTATACTATACTAGCTTTATAATTTTATAATGTTTCTTTAATTTTTATTAACCATTTCATAGAAATTAAGATAGCGACATAACTTTATAGGCAAATGTTAATGTTATTCGAGGCACCATCAAAGAAAGCAATATACGTATTTTCCGAGAGATATTACAGCTTAGTTATTTTGCCATCAAAGGGAAAAAAGAAGAGTAGCCCACGAGTGATTGCATTTTCCTCTGTTAGAAAAATATGTTATCGATATATTAAAAGAAAACCTCTTACTAGTTTGGTGACAGAATGACCCGTGGCCCGTGGCTAACATCATGTTGGTAATAAATGACCTAACCAAAAATCAAGAATAGTTATTTTTAATCCTGGATATTAAAGATTTATTGAAATCCTTGGAAAATGGGTATACCCATTACTATTCTTGATATAAAAAGTGCATTTTTGATTATTTACTTGGGCTAGGATATTAAAATATTGGTTAAAATATGGTTGTGGTTATTTGTGTAGGTATTTATAAAGCTTACTATCTGTTTCGCATTTTCAGTTTTTGATGAGACAATTGATTTTATTTGTAAAATGCCCACAAAAAACCTACCAATGATTCAACGATAGTGTCTTTACTGCTATGATGGGTCATTCCTGCTGTGTGATTTTTAGACCATTTGAAGACTACATGGGAATAACCAGTTGTAACATTTTCATAGAAATTAAGATAGTGACATTACTTTATAGGCAATAGCGTCATTCGAATCAATTTAGTATCGTTCAAATCCATGTTAATAGATAATAAATATTTTGGATTTTTATCTTTTATTTTTAAATATATTTTTGGAACTGCTGATTTTAGTAATTATTAAATTAAACGAACTAAAAAACAATTCTCAGCCATAACCTGTGCCATGCGGCCATAACCGGCTATAAAATAATCAAAATAAGACATATCTCCTGTCAACGATTATTTCGCATGACCTTCGAGTTATGACAAGGTCATGTCCCGCAGCCGTCAATCAAGGCCGACCCGAGACCTTCAGTTTTTACTCCCATCGCGCGTAAAGAAGTTTCACTTCAAAAAATGGAAAAAATTTAATTAATTAAAACCACTAGGATTTCGTACTGGACCAATGCTAATAGTGATAAATAAAATATTACATTTGAAATAGTTATAATTATCTGAAATTTATCTTGACATATTTTATTACAATGAAATTTACAGGTAAGTTGAAATTTCTTTAGTTGAAACTGTAAAATTTTATTATATCTAAGATCTCTTGAAGATTGCATATTAAATGCTTTTAGAACTAACATTATCCAGACTTGACTTTTACCAGTCTTATCTTTGTGGACGCCATTTAATCTGGATCATTTAGCAATGGCATTAAGATGGGTCACTAGAGATACAATGTTTGTACAGTGGTTTGGTTGAGTCGTGTGGGCTCTTATCTTATTTAAAAATATATTTTTTAACCGTCTATTCAATCTCCAATGTGCTTTTAAATTGATTAAATTTGATAAAAAGATTAGCCCTGTTAGGTACTTAAATTCACTATAAAAAAGTAACGTGTTTTACAAAAATCTGCGAGTTATTAGGAATTAAATTTTTTGTAGCAAGTTTTAATCTCTGATATACTTTGGCTATTGGTTTTAAAACTATAAATACATTGGTAATAATTAATTTTATTTTAATTATTCTCTCTGTGTGTGTTTCAAAAATAATTCATAATGCAAATAAATAAGCCTATTAAACAATTATCAATTATAACAGATTAAAAAATGCTTTTGTAGTTTCTGCAATCACATGTTTTAAACTTTATTCGAAAATAAAATGTTTTTACTAGTATTGATAATATTTATAGAAAACACTTAGATCCCTTAACCCTTAACCCTTAGTAAAGATTACAGAGATAGATAGATAACTTATTTTTAAACAGGCAATAATATCAGGCATCCAATTCATACACATTATACAGGGTAGGAGTTTTAAATCGCCGTTGAAAATACGTAAAGGCGTAACTCGTTTATAACGATTTTTCAGGAGAGCGATTTTAAGAAAAATGACTCTACTATTTTAAACATAAGTCTCGGAGTATTAAAATTGGGAGATTCATTTTTGGAGGTTATTGAACTCAAGGCAAGATTAATAAGACAAACGATAAAAATTATTGGTAAATGTACTAAAAAGGTTTTTTTTTAACACATTATTTCAGATACGCCTTTACCATCTTTACGTTATGTGATTAACAAAACGCCCTTAACTTTTTATTTTCCATAAGCGAACATGATGTGCATTGGCGGATCTATCTAAATTTTGTCAAAATTCGAGATACGCCTTTACGTATTTTCATTGGCGAAATAAGTCCAAATATTTTTAGGGGGAAGATATTTGAACCCTAGAAACACGACTATGAATTTTTTTTCGAAAAAAAAAAAAAATTTTGGATTTTTTTGATAAAATATTTGATTTTTTTTTAATTTTCCTTTAAAAAAACGTAATATCTTCACAATATGGCAACGTAGATAGTAGATTAAATTTACAAGAAGGAAAATCAAGAAAAAATTCAGTGGTTCTTAAATTTAAGCAAAAAATAAATTTTTTAACTTTTCAAGTAAAATATCTCGGATATTTTGGACTTATTTGGAAAACGGTAAAGACAAAGTATATTTCTTTTATCAAGATCTACCAGCTCTGAAAATATTTGTACTTATTTAAGACTCACCCTGAAGAAGCCGTGAAATATATTTTCGATAATTTTTCATTAAAATGTTTCTTCAGAAAATTCTTTGGCAAAAACTTCATTCGATTTAATAAAATAAATTAAAAATATATTAAGCAGCTTTGTCTTTTAAATGTTTATTTATACGATAGACAACGTAATTTTGGATAAAATCATCAAGTTCAATAAAGAAATTGTACTGGACTTACTACTTATAACAAATAAAAACTTACCAAAAAAGCACAGACAAAAAACAAGAGTATATAGTGATATAAATATAACTCTGATGTAAGTTTTATCGAATATATACTCTTGATTTTCAGACGACACTATCAAATTATTGGATAAGTTCAAATATCCTGTGGCCTGGGTATCGTTGTAATCCATAATTGAATCACTCTCAGATAGGATTTGGAAACCTCATTGGTCTAGAAAAAAAAGACAATAAACCTTTAGAATACTCGGTGACAAATTTAAATTTAATTACAAATGTTCAAGTAGCAACTTAATAAGAAACAAATTAAGTTATTTGTTTTAAGGGATTATTGTGGATTACAGTTTGTAAACAGATTGAGACGAAACGTAAAAACATTGCGTAAATATATTTTTCGGTAAAAAATAGACCCTTCGATAAAAAGTAATGAAAAATTCCTTGCAGTATTAAATTCTCAAATATTACTTTCAAGAAATTTTAATCGTTATTTAAATCTTGTTACATCCTTGATAAAGAGTATTATATATTTCTAGTAATATATAACAGTGATAATTCTCGGGAAGCGGTCTTATGTCTTTATGTCTTCCTCAGGAGCGTAAGAATTGAGTAAAGAATTAAGAGATATAAAGGTATATATGTTATGGTTAAGGTCCGATATCCGGTTAATGTCGACATTACCCGGTTAATCTCAAGAATAACACAACAAAACAACCAAAAACATAACCAAACCCAAACATTAACCTGTTAATGTCGACATTAACCGGACATCGGACATTAACCGTAACATATACACAAAATACAGGGTGGGGCCTCTCATACGCCGCGAAGGCTCAAAGAAGAACGACAATTTGTATCGAAATGAAATTTTGTGAGCATATGTAAGTTAATTAAGAGCACTACTTTTTAAAAATATTTCCACAGGGTGTCTCCAAAAAAAGTTACATATCAGAGTTGTGTTTTTTGTAATGGAACATCCTATATATTAATTGATTTTTGGATTCTGTAAATAAAGGTGACTTTTATGAGAGTAGTATATGACTAAAATGTACGGTTTTTGACATATTTAACATTTTCTAGAAATATAGAACAATTTTTAAATTACAATAAACGCTACCCAAATTGGATTTTATCTGGTATAGCCTAATATATAGTTAAATTAACGATTGTACTTATATAATTATCAAATTGATTTGATAACTTGATTCAAAAAGTTATACAGGGTGAGACAAAATTAATATTGAACATTGGCCACTTTTAAAAGCTTGTTCCTCTCTTATTTTAAATAGAACACCCAGTATATTATTCCGAAATTAATGGAGAATTCGTGTCTCTTCAAAATACTATTAAGGTTGCCTACCCCTCCAATAAAGATTTTCCCAGATATTTTCATTTACATGATTTCATCTGAGCAGATCTTTATTATTTGATAAATGTAGGTGGAAGTGACATGTCTGACGTTACTTTAACATAGCTGTCTTTAATAACTAGTTATCATTTAGTGTCAGTTAAAACATAAAAAGTTCTCAGAAATTTGCCGAAAATGCAAACTTATCCTACATCAGAAAGAATTAATAGAATACTTAAATGCTCCTGATTTTATCTAGTCTGTTTTTTTATGAGGATATGTTAAAGACAGTGTTTACAAAACTCGACCAACTAGTGTCGAGAACATGAGAGAAATTATTGTAGCTGCTTTTCGAGGTAGAACTCCACATAATATGTTTTTTAAAATAAAAAGATCCTTTTGAAAAGACAATAATTTTATGCAGTTAACAGGAAAGGAAGCATTTTGAGCATTTGATATATATTATAGGTTTATATCTGTTTTAATTCTGTAATAATTAAAATACGTGTATCTTTTTATTTAAACGTGTATGTTTTTATTACCCTTGAGTATTTTACTCTACAATCTTTAACTTTTGTTAAATTAACGAAAAGTACACAGCCACCTAGATTTTTTCAAATAATAAAGATTTACTGACGCAAAATCATACAAATTAAAATATCTGGGAAAATCTTTGTCTGAGGGGTAGGCAACCTTAATAATACTTTGAAGATATATAAATTCCCCATTAAACACCGAAAAAATATACTGAGTGTTCCATTTAAAATAAAGGAGTAATTTGCTTTTAAAAGTGACTAATGTTCCATATTAATTTTGTCTCACCCTGTATATCTTTTCGGGTCAAATTTCAATTTGGTTTAATATACAATGGTTACTGTAATTAAATATCAGACCATACAAGGTCAACTAAAATTTAGGTAGCTGTTATTGAAATTTAAAATTTACTCTTCATTTTCGCAAAAAGTGAAATATGTCAAAATCCTTAGATTTTATGTATATGCTTTTTTAATAAAACTCAGCTTTATTATTTTCCTAAAATCCGAAAATCAATTAATATATAGGGTAGAAAAAACACAACTTTGATGTGTAACTTCTTTTAGGGACATCCTGTATAATTCTATATATTTTTATAAAATGTTTTCAGTTAACCTACATATGCTGCCAAAATTTAATTTATCCGTTCTCCTTGGAGCTTCCGCGGCGTATGAGAGGCGCCACCCTCTACATCAAGAGTACGATAAAACGAGAGAGTCATCAAGAGTACGACAAAACCAGAGTACGATATCTGCTGTATACTGTACAGTACGTGTCAAATTGATTTTTCATGTTTGTTTTGCAATTTTCTTGATGTATTTTGTGTACATACCTCTATAACTCTAATTATTTACGCTCCTGATGAAGACATAAACCATGCCAAATACAGAGCTTTAGAATAAATTGAGTTTGATTTAGAACAGACCGCTTCCCGAGAATTATCACTGTTATTCATTCATACGGTCGAGAATACTTACAAATATCTAGTAATGTACTTACTAATTAGTTTCTACTAACTATCTAGTAACATATATTCAAAAAAAAGTATTGAGATTCTTCTAAATTTTATTTTGCTTGTATTAAGAATATAATTATAAGTAATTTATTGAAAAGTAAATTTTAGCGTACTAGGTACACAATATTTACAATATTTAAGAAAAAAAGTGAATCTCCAAAAAACATACATATTAAATTAGTGAATATTAAAAATGAGGTCAATAAACCAAAAATGTAATACACAAAATACCATGTGAATGTGATAAATTTTATATTGGTGAAACATCTAGACCTTTAAATGTTCGAATTAAAGAACATAAAGATTATTTAGGAACGGCCGATTTTCCCAAATTAGAGATTTGTCAGCATTCATAGAATACAGGGCACAGAGTAGATTTTAACAACGCAAAAATTATTATTAAGGAAGCGATAGCTTCTAAAAGATAAATTAAAGAGGCCTTTTTAATACAATCTAATATAAATAAATGTTTGTTCAGTCATCTGTAAAGGTTAGTAATGTATGGTTGTCGCTTCTTTGATTAGTAAACATAATCATAAATAAACATAAGATTAGTAAAAATTAAGAACAAATTAAAAATAATCATACAGAAAGTTTGAGGCTTTTTGGTTTTTTCTCATCAAGTAATTGTTATCGAGTAGTAATTCTTAATTTTGAAGTGTAACATGGAGATAATGTCATTTTAACAGAACGTCTACATTTTTTACAGACGTATCTGTTGAAAAAAACTAAAGTGTTCTTGAATTATTTTTCAATTTGATTTTCAAATCAAGCGGCAACATTATAACGCCGAAAATTAACCAACCAAATCAGCGTGAATCACTGTTATGTAACAAAAGTAAGGTAATACAGGCCGTGTTTATAAACCTTTGATATCTAAAAAATCGTTAAATAAATTGTGGCACTTACTGGTAAAATAAAAGTTCAACCGCTAGTGTTATACAAAGATAAACAGAAACACTGTAAAGATCAATCAACTTGAGTTCATTAATAATGAAACATCTTACGTCTAAGGCAAGTAATGGTTTATTATTTCTGGGGTTAACAGTCCTTGCAAATTAATTATTTAGACACATGTTGTGAGGTATGGGAAGAAACCAGGAAATGTCAATATCTTGGAGTTTGTAAAATATACAGAATTTGAATTATTTTTGTTAAGTTTAAGTGTTAGACTTTTTTCGGAGTAATACTACGTTTATAGAATTTGGAGATTCTTGTTTTTAACTTTTTTTATATATTATAATTTTATATATGGTAACATAAAATATGTATGTTTATATTTTTCATTATGGGGAGTAAGCAAACAATTTGTTTTCCTGAATGAATTCTAATCATATACGAAATTGTATAATTTAAAGAAACGCGAAAATTTGACACAGCGTCTCGGGTGTCATTCCGCTAAACATTTTCATGATTGCAAAACTTCCCGTTGTACCGGAAGTTGACCAACTTGCTTATATTAAAGGGACCATTCTATGTTTTATTATAGTACAGTTTCTAATTCTGCATAGAATTGTAATTACACTTTTTGTTACGAAAAATAATTCAACATATTTGATTTGTCTATAATATATTTTTTTTTATTTTTCATTAGAATATGGCGCTGAAATATATGATATGGCGCTGAAAATATATGAAAAATGGTTTTGCAATAATTGTGACATTGGCAATAAAACTTGACTGAAAATCCTACAATAAATTTTATTAATCTCTCTAATTTGATTTATCTCCAAAATTAAAAAAAAACGTTATAGCTTGTTAAAAGTGGGATAGTATAACGTCGGTCTGCAAGCAAAACACAAATCTCAAAAACGAATAAATTTTTAATGCAATTTTACTGAACAAATATAATGTGATTATGGACTTAATGACATAAAAATAATTAAAAAATTAAACTTATAATTATTGGAAGACTTAGAGCTAAGTCTTCTAATAATTTTAAGTTTCAGAGTAAGTAGATTTTTTAAAAAATATACAGGATGGTACAAATTTTACTAGGAAAATTTCGGCAGTATATTCTGCAGGTAAAAATAAGTAAAAATTTTTGTATAAGTTTATGTTTTAAAATGCTTCGTTTCGGAGATACAGGGTGGAGAATTTTCATTTTTATTTCGATTTTTCGGATATTTGGATGAAAATTGGTGTCTGGATGTATTTTGACATTAGAAATTCGATTTCGATGTCAGTATGACTCCTACTTGCAGGGGCGCCATTTATATATTTTTGAGCTGTCAATTAGAGTAATAACTTTTCGTCAGTACCTGTATTACTCTACTGATGTAAATATGTACGTTTCCGTCATTTTTTACGTAAAAATGGT